TTGGGAGCATTCCCATCAGCTTGGCCACAAAACAAAATACACAACAAAAGTACCTCAAACTTACAACCTGAAGTAAAAGGCAACAATTGCTTTGAAGTTATTGAGAAAATATATGAAGAAAATAGACATCCTCTGTTATAAACTTTTGAGAATCTGGGGGTTGTTGTAAAGGTTATAGAGCATAACTCTCTCAGACTATGTGAAACTTCAGACTAGACAGATTTTTTTTTTAACTCAAGGCCTGGGCACTGTCCTTGAGTGCTTTTGCTCAAGGCTAGCACTCTACCACTTTGATCCACAGTTCCACTTCCAACTTTCTGATTGGTAATTTGGAGATAAGAGTCATAAGGACTTACTTTCCCAGGCTGGTTCTGAACCATGATCCTCAGATTTCAGCCTTGTGAGCAGCCAATGCGTGGCTTTGGATAGATTCTTTTCCATATCTAGTTAGATGGTAATGTGCAACAGAACTAAAACCTGTCAAAGATTTGAAAATCCTTGTTCTTGTTAACTGAGGCCTAGATAAAATAAGTGACTGCTCTGGGGCCCAGGGAGGAGGGAACCATGCTCCTGTTCCCTTCCTTCTTAAATTACTACCATAGTACAAATTACCTGTGCTGGGATCTCCAGACTGTAACATCCATTTGCACCAATAAAAGTTAGCCTGGCGCAAACTGCTATTTGTAAAACATCCTGATCATGGATGAAAATGAAGTCTTAAGACTTTAATACAATACCATTATAAAACAAGAGCCCCAGCTCATAAGATGTTATCCCAACTGTCGCCAACACCTACAGAATCTCAAGTTTTAAATCAAAAGAAAAATCAACGGATTAGCTTACACACACTTCACGTTATTAACAAGGTAGAAACATTTCCTGTATGATGTTCACAATCTTGCATAGGATTAAGGCATGAGCAGTATGTAGTAGTTACATACGCACAGAAAAAAGGCCTAACAGTGCCAAAGTACAAACAGTGCCCAAATAGAGAGGGAAGGGGAGGAGGAGGAGGATGCAAGAAGAAACACAGAAGCAGCAAACATGGAGTGTATCTAACTGTCTAGGGAAAGAAGGGAAGAAAACTGGAAGATATGTGTAGTTGAGACCAGGAGAGGAGGATACATCTCTTCTGTGGAGGAAACTGCTGGACTAGCTAAGGTAATCTCAAGATATTCATTTTATTCAAATCTTTATTATGCTCAATAATAACCTTGATACTTATTCAGTTTCCTATGTTCTTCCAGACAGGAGGAAAAGAATGTCCTGCAAGAACTTCTTAATCAGTCCAATAATTAGAATTGACTTAATATAAATTACTAAATTGAGCCCCTTGTTTTCTCATCTGTCTCCCTAGGTCTGACTAAACAGTGTGAAGCATGGTTATTTCACAAACACAATTATTATCTACTGATATCCCTTTATGGCCATTCTATAGGATTTTGTTGGGATGTCCAAACTTATTGGATATCCTTTCACTTTTTAACAGCTCCTCTGCTACCCTACCACACTTTCAATAAAAAATCTTTCATGGACATAAAATGTACCCAGAAAAAGTATAAATAGAACACCAAAGCACTGCTCTTACATTAAACTGAATACACTCTTGAACTGGTTTTGGAGGGGAAAGACCATAGATTTTAAGTCCTTGTCAACAAGCACTTTGACCCACAATGCCTAACTCAAAAGGACCAAAACTAGGAATGTTCACTGCATGAGACAATTCACAAACTAACATGTCTCTCAGTACATTCTCAGTCTTAGGTTTATTTGTTTTCCACTTCAGAAACATAAAAGAATTATAGTGCATCAAAGAAAAATAGTAAGTCACTAATTTTGACTCTGTTTTTAAAATGTCCTCCTTTTCAGAAACTTAGTTGGTTTACTTCATGGAATTAAGAGATGGGGGAAAAATCCTTTTAAGAAAGTACTTCCACCAACAATGCAATAGGGTCCCCGTTTGGCCACATCCCCTCCGGCATTTGTTGCTACTAGATTTATCGATTATAGCCATTCTAACTAGGGTGAGGTGTAATCTGAAAGTTGTCTTGATTTGCATTTCTTTTATGGCTACAGAAGTTGGAGTGTAAACTTGTTCAGCCATTTTGTAAAGCAATATGGAGGTTCCTCAAAAGATTCCACATAGAGCTCCCCTATGATCCAGCAATCTCACTTTTAAACAAATGATCACAAACATGCCAAACATACCAAAGCTACCAGCACAACCATGTTTACTGCAGTATTATTCACCATAGCTAAGATATGAAACCAACCCAGATGCTCCTCAGTAGATGAATGGATCAAGAAAATGTGATATATGAATTCTATGCCTCCATCAGAAAGAATGACATTGTCCCATTTGTTAGGAAATGGAAAGACTTGGAAAAAATTATATCAAGTGAAGTAAGCCAGGCCCAAAGAAACATAGGTTCCTTGTTTTCAATGGCTAGTACATGTCTAGGACAAGCAGAGAAAGTCAAAGGCTATGTATGTACGACCACATAAGATGATGTTAAACAAAATGTACCCCAAGACAGGGACACAGATGGTTTTTTCTTTCTTTCTATTGTTTTTAATGTACTGATAATGCACTATGTGATTCTTTTGTTTCTTTTGTATGTTCTTCCCCCACGGTATAACCCGTTTTCACTGTACTTGATTCCATGTTGTGCATCTTGTATATACATTTTTGTAATCTGGGGAGGGGAAGGGATACGAAAGAATGCTTAAATGGATGCAGGTTGACCCATTGTGACAATGAGATGTACAGGACACTATGTTGAAAACGAACTTTACAATGTTGGGGGGAGGAGGGAAGGAGGAGTTGGGGGAGGGAAGGGATAGTAGGGAAAAAACAAAGGAGGAGGTAACAATGCTCAATTATTATCCTACTCATATAACTGTAACCCCTCTGTAAAGTATTCTCGCAATAAAAAAATATATATATATAAAGAAAGTACTTCCATATTTATGCCAGTATCATTAGCTTTTGGTGTTTATACCACTATTAATTTGCCCAGTAAAACCTGCTTTAAAAATTCCTTTCTTGAAATTATATTAAGTGAAGTAAGCCAGGCCCAAAGAAACATAGGTCCCATGGTTTCCCTTATTTACAATATCTAGTATATGTCTGAGTCAAGCAGAAAAGGTCAGATAAGGTGATGTTAGGGAAATGAACCCAAAGATATGTATTCAAATGTTTTTTTTCTTTCATGTGATTGTTTCTAACACATTTATAAGATGATTTCTTTGTTGCTTTGTATGTCCCTCCCCCATAATATAACCCCTGCTTTCACTGTATTTGATGTCGGTATAATTTGTGGAGGGGAAGGGGAAAAACAAATCGTTTAAATAATGATACAGGTGGACCCATTGCAACAATGAGATGTACAAGTCATTATGTGGAAAACGAACTTCACAACTTTGGTGGGGGTGGGGGTGGGGTGGGGGTGGGGTGTGTGGGAAGGATTGGTTGAGGGGGAGGGGGAAGGATGGGAAGGGATGGGAAGGAGAAACAAAGGAGGAGGCTACAACGCTTGATAAGAAATGTACTCATTATCTTGCCCATGTAATTGTAACCCCTCTGTACAGTATTTTCACAATAAAAAAGAAAGAAAGAAAAAGAGATAGAAAAAAAATTCCTTTCTTGGTAAATGTGAATGACTTTCCAATGTTTTTTTCAGTGTTATCAAAATCTGGAGACTGGCGGTTCACAATATTTTTGTTTGTTTGTTTTTAGTAGCCTTCCTCTGACAGAAAGGAAGCATCAGTCACTTACTCATTTCAAGTTGGTGTCTGTAAGGTCACTGGGAGAGACTATGGAGTCTATTTCTATTCTTGTCTCCCAGCCAAGATTCTATTCTTAGCCTGATACCAAGAATACTCTCTTCAGGAATGCCATGTGGAATGAGATGACATTGCCTAAGTGGAGATCAAAGAATCTGAATATGGTCATTATCCCTGGAGTCAGCTTTGGCCAAAATGTATATGAGTCACTCACACTATTACACTGGGCTTCTTATCAACTCTGTACATGTCCCAGGCTTTCACTAGACATGTTCCTGAAGAATCATTATAAACACCTTGGAAATCTCCTAGGTCTTTACCACTTCCTTTACACTGACCCTGGAGACCAGGAACTCAACCCCAAAAGCCCAGAGCAATAATTTGCTTTTCTCACACATACAATTCTGAATAAAGTATCTGGGAAGAAGAGTCTGCTAACTGTATAAATGTGAGCCTAACGATGAACCAGATAATTCTGAAGACACCTGGCAGATAAATCCCTGGTTTCCCACAACACCGATTTTTTTAAACAGTCCTAGTGGTGGTCAATGATTTCTTTACACTGCAAAACCAAACAGTAAATTTTCCTATGGCTCATCTAATAGAATATTAAAGTAGCTAGGTTCTTTTTAGATATACGCAATTGTATGGATTTTAAAATCATCATCCATTTAGTATTCATTAGTCTTACCGTTTTTTTTTGTTGTTGTTGTTGTTACAGATAGCAAAGGAGAAGCTACCAATGTTACTCAAACTGATTAAAGTATCAATTGGGGATTTAAACATGGGTCTACAGTCCTGTAATTAGTGAGCTTTGCATTCATGTTCAAAAAAAAAAAAAAGAAATGAGAATACAGACATTTTAGTTGACTTGTGGGAATAAACCTTAATTTTACAATGAAAAGTAATTGTATTTTAATATATTTTTATTTCTTCCTGAAATATTTCTTTCAACTTTTATTATCTATTATTGTAGAATTATGCCTTTCACATATATTATTTTATTTAGTTCTGGTAAAAATCCTGTTAGGTAGATTATTTTTACAGCCCTCCTTTACAGATGAGGAAGCTGAGGTTCCAAAAGATGACCCAACTTTACCATGGGTTATGTAACTGAGCTCAAATGTAGATTTTTCAAGGATCTCCAGATTCTTACACAATTAACTTGGACAAGAAAGAAAGTCTCATGATTATGGATTCAACAGAGTACTTACGTAGTCAATGGGCTTGAGGGCTTTGACTCTAGATGCTGGACAACCACAGGAACTAAGATCAGCATAGAGGCCTTCTTCTAATACACACTGATGATCAAAAATATCCTCTTGGTAATACAGGAGCCAACTGTATAAGACAGACATTCAGTCAATTTATATTCAGTTGGCAGTGTGGGCTCATACTCATGAAAACTGAGATAGAAGTAGATGTGTTAAATAGTACCAGTTAATAAAAGAGCTACCACTGTCATTTATTGACTGTTTGCTATATGCTAGACCTAAGGCAAGAAACATTCATGGATTATTCAATATACTATTTTACATATATTTTTCACAAATTATTTATATCTTTAACAGACTACTTGCATATATCATTATTTTACTGTGGCCTCAGTACTTGAGTTAAAGGCATATCCTAATTTTTATGTACAACAAGACAGAGAATTAGAAAGATTAGTTGAGTTGCCCACAATTCGCCCACTCTAATAGAGCTAAAATTTGAAATAAAAAAGCATTTGTATTATGCTAAAATCCATTCTTTCATTTAGTACATTCAAGTACAAAAACCTCACTGAATTATGGTGATCTTCAAATAATTTACCAAATTAGTTCTTTTTTGGAAAATAATATATATATATATATATATATATATCATTAAAAGAAAAATTTATCAATTATCAATAAAAGAAAAATATATCATTTCTTAATGATGAGCTTTTGTTCACAATAAATAGAAGCTAGATGTGTGTGTGTGTGTGTGTGTGTGTGTGTGTGTGTGTTTGTGTGTGTTATAAGGCCTGAACTCAGGATCTCAGCACTGTCCCTGAGCCTCTTTGGGCTCAAGCACTCTACCACTTAAGCCACTTCCAGCTTTTGAGTAGTTAACTGGGGATAAGAGTCTAAAGGGGATTTTTCTGCTGTGGCCAGCCTCAAACCACAATCCTCACATCTCAGCCTTCTTAGTAGCTAGAATTATATGTCTGAGCCACTGGCGCCCTGCTTGAAGTTAGACTTTTTATTTTAATTAATTAATTTATTTATTTAGTCAGTTGTGGGGCCTGAACTCTGGGCCTGGGCACTGTCCCTCAGTTCTTCAGCTCAAGGCTAGTGCCACAGTACCACTTCCAACTTTTTTTGCTATGTGGTGCTGAGAAATCGAACCCAGGGCCTCATGCACACAAGGCAGGCATTCTACCACTGAGCCACCTTCCCAGCCCTAGCTAGACTTTTTAAAATCACACAGAGTTTATAAAATCTGTCACTTGCATTGGCTAGTCAATGGATTCTTTTTTAAATAAAAGATATATATCTCAAGAATCCTAAATAGTAAGCTACATTCAATACTGCAATCACCAAAGCACAGACATGACCTTCTAAGAAGGAAGAGCCTGAGTAAAAAATGCTTCACTATCACTAACTTATATTCGGCATGTTTAAGTTCTAGTCCTATATTTTAAGATCTCTAGGTCTGTATATCTATATATCTGTATATCTATAGCTAGATGAGGTTAATTCTGGATTATAAATGCTTCGTGACACTAAAATTTACTATTCCTGTCTGTATGGAATGAAGATGGTACAGAGCCAATATTTTTTTCAAAGTGCTAATAAACACGGGACTTAAGTCCCTCATAAGAATTCTGCTTTAGTCTCTAAGAATCCTTTGAGGTAGGTACTACCATCGGTGTTCCTTTACAGATGAGGAAAGTGGGGTTCAGAAGCTGAACCAATCTACCTAAGGTCATACATTAAAATCATTACAATGCTCCAAAAGTTGCTTAGTAGGCATTATTTTAATCTTTAAGGACTGAAAATACAAATTCAGCAAAATGAATAAAGGGTAGAAAGCAACTGATAAATGTTTAAGAAAGAAAAAATTAAATCCTACTGCAAATGCAAAACAGCAAATTTCTCTAAGCATAAATATCATCATTAAGTAACTGCACAAAATACTCATTAACTGTACTTACCAGCCTCGGAGTACTTTAAAAGAACATGGTGTGAATGAATCAAAATCAGCAATTTCTTTTATAAAATCTATACATTCTCCTTGGAACCCTGGTTTATTGAACACTTTGAGCTACAAGAACAATATAATAATAGTTAAACATAAGATAATTGCTTAACATCATGACAAGCAAAGAAAAACCTTCAATATACTTAGAAGAATTCAACAGAGTACTACTCATGCTTTACTATCAATGAATTAATCTTAAGGATGATGACATTCTCTTTAAAATCATGTTTTCTCAAATTTCCAAAAATGAGATATCACCACTTATTTACCAGTTTCACTCATCTTTTGTACCAAATTGTGAGCACAGATGGCCAGAAAACAACTTTACTAATCAGACAATATCCCTCTGGCATTAAAATGTGTTTTGTTTCCATTGTTTGAAGTACTGTTATCCCCTATGGTGAGATTAGATATGTAAAATAAGAAGCAATTAAGTGCTATCCTAGAAAGAGATTTGGATTGATATGAAGAGTGGAGATTCCTTTTCTCTCCCCAAATCTTCCAGATCCACAGTTAATAAAAGTGAGAGGAAGAAAGCAGGAGTGTCTGGAAGGGCTTTGGAGCAGATGGTAGATAAGATAATAATCATGGGATTAGTGGAAGATTTATGATGAACTAAGACATCTGTGTCATGAATTTCCCCTTACAGCTTATTTTTTCCTTGTAAGTATAACTTAAACATATAGCATGTAGTTCTATAGACTACATTTCCAGTCTTTTTCGTCAAGAAAAATCTATGAAATCTCAGCGATATTACTCTTTAGACCAAGTCTAGTATGCTTGAATCCAAATAAGAACAAAAAATAATGAGCTCTATAAATATTTCATAGTACTCTAAAGGCTTGAAAAAGAATGATCCATAGACCCATCTTGCACCAGCAGACCTGCATTGTTGCAAAGAATGTGTCATAGTGAATGACCTACAGCGTTATTGCTTCTCCTACTCCTGCTGTCTACGAACATGAGCAACCCATGTTCCCCTCCTCATCTTCCCAAGAGTCCTCTCAGAGGAACTGTCTCTTGGCTACCTCATTATGCTCTGACTTTGTGTTGATTATCAAAGATCAGCCCAAACCAGGGAGGTGACATAACCAATCCCCACCCCATCCCCAGCAACTGTGGCTAGCACAACACGGACTTCCTGTTGTACAACCACACTGTATTTGGGATCTCCATTGTAGCAAGTTTCCAACAGGGTCCTTCTTTCTAGTAGACACAGGGGATAGCAAGGAAGAGAGAGGGCAAAACGAGACATGGTTTTAAATGTAAAGGTTATCAAAGGTGAGGCTATAAATTCCTTTTAACTTCCAAGAGTGCATGAAAATTTTCCCAATATTATCTAAGTTCACAGCAAGAATTAAAAAAGAAACACATGCAAATACAGACCACAGCTGTCTCACTCATGTGTACTCAGTTTGTTGAAATAATTGTAGAGTGATGAATTTTAGGTTTATATTTTGGTCTAGAGATGTAGCTCAATGTTATCATCACACTTGCCTGACCTGCATGCAAGAAGGCCTTAGGTTAAAACTTGGGCCCCTGAAGTGAGGTTTGGAGGTTTATATTCCAGCATTTCAGCATGAAACCATAAAATGTCAAATCCTAGACTTCTGTCAATATTTTCTAGCATTCTATCTTCATACTCAGAATTAAAATGCATATAGCACAGAAATTTACTATAAACTATCATTTTGATATGATGGTTTTAAGTATTCTTGTCCTTCAAAAGCTACGTTTCTATGAGTAAACATGTTAGGTGGTATGTACATGGTTATAAATGAATTAAGTATAGGGGACACTATAGAGATGTCCAATAGTGTAATTTTTTAGAAAGACAAAGTCAAAGCCCAACAAAACACCAGAAAATGGGTACTTCCAAGATGGGTGGGGTGGGGCCGAGGGGAGACAATGAAGGAGAAAATGAAATTAAAAAGAGGTGGGAGCCGGTGCTGGAGGCTCAGCTACTCAGGAGGCTGAGATCTGAGGATTGTTGTTCAAAGCCAGCCCAGGCAGGAAAGTCTGTGAGACTCCTGTCTCCAAAAAACCACTAGTGGTGCTGTGGCTCAAGTGGTAGAGTACTTGCCTTGAGCTGAAGAGCTGAGGGACAGTGCCCAAGCCCAGAGTTCAAGCCCCAAGACTGACCAAAAAAAAAAAAAGAGGTGGGTAGAAGAAGAATGAGAATGTTGAAGGGGTGTACTGATCAAGATGCACTGAAGTCATCTACTGCTTTGAGCCTATCACATTGGATAGCAACGTACTTCACATCCATTCTTATATTTCTTCCTACCCCTTTAAACTACACCATGAAGCAAAAATTATCTCTGTATAATGATGATTTTTGCAGAAATGGGCTTTACTGTGTAATTTGCACTTATGGAGAAAATGTGGTAGTAAGCCTTGAACCTGACAAACTAAAAAATTCTAAGAATTACTAACCAAGTACACATGTCATGCTCAATTTATTCCATACTATCAGCACCATCTTCTTTGAAATGAATAATCATGGCTTTAATGTGTTATACCCAACCAGCACAAGAAGCAATTCAACTAATACAATCATTTAATAAAACCTTCTTTTAGACATCTATAGAGAGAATGAAGAAAAAGGACATAAAATTTTAAAAATATTTCTAGGCACTGTAGTTGTTTAGTAAATAATCAGTAATTGATTATTTCACAATGTCATCTGTCATTGGTGATATCATCTCACAATGGTGATACTGGAGCAGTAACTATGTATTGGCAATCAATTCACGGATGTCATATGAGCAAATTATCAGAGAAAGTATTTCAGTTCTTTCTCCTATAAAATCTATAATAATGTGTCCTGGCATTGTATTTGCTCTAATACCAAAATAACTTCAAAGAAACCTTTTATCCCTAAATTATATTTTCTCCAACACTTTGGATCTCCCTCATACACACTTGCAAATTGTAGCATAAAGAAAAATCTTATTTTCTGTTGATTGCAACATACCTTTTGTGTTTATCTATGATAGTACACATATTTCTTACATCTATTACATATGTGTTAATGATTTTATTTCACAGCTCATAGAAGACTTTATTTAAATCACTCTGCCTGAGAGTTTTGGTACTTTGAGACTTAGGAAGATTATCTGGTTGTAGCACCATAAAGACTGTCATTGCCTACCCTTATGTGCAATTTTCCCCCTCACTTCACTGCTATGGATTGAAGCCAGTGCTTCATACATGCTAGGCAAGTTCTTGAGAGCTAAACAACATGCCTAGCCCTATCCTCCAATTTTAAAGAGTGTCCACACTATTACCTTGTCTGCTACTGCATTAGCATTCAATAAGGCTAAATTATCTAACAGAACCCAACATCTCATTCCTTTTACTCAACTAGAGGTTATATACAAAATAGAACAGGGGCTCAATATTTAAAGAATTTTACTTGAAAATGCACTTGGAAAAGAGCCCTGGAATGCTAAGTACATGCTTGTATCAGAGAGGAACTGGCCTGAATTTCTACTGAGTAGCGCCTGACCACAACTTCCTAAAACGTAAATTCACTATAATGAGATATATTTAATCTAGCATCATTTTCAATATATAGGCCTTGTTAAAGCAGAGAGATGAGAACAACATGTAGATAATCCATACACTGTTCAGTGTAAGCTTGGCTTTGAAAAACATAAAAGCTAATAAAATGAAGCTAATGATCTTGTGCCTTGAAATGTAATTAAATTTAGTGACTAATCTTCAGCTTTAGGAGAATCTCAATAAAAGGCAGTGTGCTTGTAGTTTCCCAAATAAGATATGACTCATCATAACACAAAACAACCAACAGTACTTTTATTGTAACCTTCATGATATACATTAATCTCCGTACACATATATTTTCTGAATCATCCCCCCCCTTAGGTAGAGGTTCCACTTAAATCTCCACTATTTTTTTCTAATTCCGTCTGTGACTTGAACCCTGAAGTATAACTGCCTCCTTCCTCTTCAAACATGGAAAACACCCATGTTAACTCAGTGAAGATCTGTTTATATGTTGGTAAATATAAACAAGAAAAATTGCTCAAAGTTTGGCCAACTAAAAAATAACAAGAGTTTTGACCCTGGGTAAACAAAAGAAGCTTTGTACACATGTTACTAAATATCTGGCTATCACCAATTATGATTGCAGAGACATTTCACAAGATCAACAGAGCTATATCCGGAAAAAAAAAAAAAAGAAATGGAGCTTTCATTGGGCATATTCTACTGTTTCTTCTCTCTTCAAGTTTAACTGGAAATATTATAAAGAAATCTATCCAAAACAACAAAGTCCATTAAAAAAAAAAAAAGAGCAGAAGTTTGGAGGGGAAGAAAGCTGAAAAAGAATAGGAAGATTCATCTGTGTTCCAAACTCAAAAATAAGCAGTTTCAAAAGAGTCCTGTTCAATGCCTTTCTACTCAAGATATTTTATTCATGTTAGAAAATGCTTATAAACACACTGGACAGTAAAAGACAAAAAAAATTATACTTGGACATGATAAATTAAACAGGACTCTAAAACATTTACAAAGTGAGACCAAAGGAGGATTTTCTTAGGAGAGGATCACAAAGGCATATGATCATATGAAATGATGTTTACTGAAATGAACTCCAAGAAATGTAAACAAGAGTTTTATTGTTATTTTTGCTTTAAATTTTTGTTTTTCACGTTTGTCGCTGTTTTTTTTAAAATTTCTGTACCTTTTGTCTTGTATGTAAGTTTATCTGTTTGGGGGAAGTAGGGAAAAACAGAAATAGTGGGACAATGGCTGAACAAATACAGCAGTGACACTAGACACTATATTGAAAATGAACCATGCAACTTGTTGGGGCAAGGGGTCAGGAGGGAAAAAAGGGAAGAGGTGACACTGGGCAAAAAGAAATATGCTCATTACCCAACTTTTGTAACTCTAATCCTCTTGTATATCACTTTTATAATAGAAATAAAAATACGAAAAATGAAATAAAAATCCACAGTTGGTTTCAAACATTAAACTAATGATCTGGCAGAAAATGTCTCTAAATATAACTGCTCAATTATATTAAGAAAGGAAATGTTCCCAGTAGGCCTGAGCTATTGAGAAAACAATAAAAACCTCAAGCCATTATTTGTAGATATCTGATGAGACTAGGCTGATCCAAAATATATAAACACTGACATGACTACGGAAAAAACACACACATTCAGCAAAAAGGTTTAGCCCTGTGTAAGGGTAGCAAGTTAAAATTAATCACAACACTTGGCATTTTGACAGTAACTTTTATAAACATGGTTAAAGATGAAACAGAGAAAGCTGTGTTTCCCATCCTCTCTTTCTTCTGTGGTGGTTCTGGCTTTTGTCGTGCTATACCCTTTTCCCATGAAACCTTGGAAATGCAGCCTTGTTAGTGGAGTCAGGGACTGGAAAACGTCTACTTTGCTACTTTAAGCTGTGTGGTAATAGCACTTGCTTACATTCTGAACCTCAGTTTTCCTATCAATAAATGAATATTGACATCACAAACTTTTCAGTAGTATTGCACACAAAAATACCAGTAGCTCCATGCTGTGTGCTCTTCCAAAAATGGCATCATATATAGTGGTGAACCAGAATGTAACATGAAGAATGAATGAGCCCCAGGAAAGACAGTGACTGGATGGGACAAGTTCAAACAACACGAATATGGTGAGAGTGGAAGCTTTGCTAGAAGAAAATGAAAGATGCTGTGACAAATCCAGGCCAATACAACAACTTAAAAGGACAGGCATGCTTCTGACCACAGGCACCAAACCCAACATCCACTGCCCCAGCCCCACAAGGCACACACACAGAAATATGGAATGGAAGAGAAAGATTTGAACATGAAAGTATAAAGTTTTTAAGTAAACAGTCCAACAATTATAAGTTAAAAATATTTTTAAACATACCCAATGTGGAGGCTCATTTATTCCAAGTGGTTCCTAAAAAATATATTTAAATGTTTAAAAAAAATCACAATCATATAATCTAGTTATCTTTTGTGCAAGTTTTGAAAATATCCTTTGAAAAGAATTTTAGTAATCTGACTAGTATATTAGATTCCTTGAATTGGTCATAACATACTAATTTTTTTTATAACAATTGTAGTGCTTATAGCTAATCTATGTTTAGCAATATTGGACCTAGAAGAAAAACGGGCTCACTGCCTACAAGAGTTCAGCCCATAATCTCTTTTGGTAAGCAGTGTTTTTTAATAACCCAAAATGTCCACAGCATGACTTTATACACAAGGAAGTGATTCTTGCTTTGTGGAATGACCTTTCTGCTTAAAAAATTCACTTTCAGGAAGTGGCACTGTGGCTCAAGCGGTAGAGCGCTTGCCTTGAGCTGAAGAGCGCAGGGACAGCGCCCAAGCCCAGAGTTCGAGCCCCATGACCAACAAAAAAAAAAGTATACTTTATGAAAATTCACTTTCATCCTGTAAGATATCACTTTATACATTCTTTCCCATGACAAGGTCTTCAATTACCAGCTCACTGAAGTTTCCCTGCCTCTTTCCCTCAACACTGCCTAAACGTATCATTTTCTCAATACCATAATTAGTCATCCATACATCTGTCTTCCAGAGGTGGAGAGCAATCAAAAAAGCTTTATTCATCTTTTATCTCCAGTGATCAGCAAAATGTATAACATGTCAGAGGTACTAAATAAATGCTGCTGAATGACTGATCTTTACAAATTGCAGAGCCAACATAGCCCTTCATGTTTTTCTGCACACTTGTATACACACACACACACACACACACACACACTGAGACAGTTCAATAATTTCACTTTTAAAAATCTGTTACATATATTCAACTATCTGCCCTTCTATTATTACATGTCACTGACACTTGTCATCATCAAACTTTACTTACCAGTTGGACAGGTCTGATTGACAAGATTATATTATTTGATCCTCCCCAGTCAAAAAAGCATTTGTATTTCCCCTTCTCTAAAATGTACTGCTCTCCACAAAAGAATTTCTGTTGGTAGGCAACCCATCTAGTGGAGGTAGGGAGAAAGGAAAGAAAAGAAGAGAAATGATGTACAATCAAGCAACCAACAATTTTAAACACCAAACAATTTCTGAAGGTTCTTAGAGTAAGGGACAACTTACACTCCGCTTTTCACATGAATGGACCTTGTTTCAATGCTATAGCCAATTTCTTCCAAGTCAGAAATTTCCTGATTTGTAATGTCAATAAACTTCCCACTTTCAAGGTCAGATTCAAACAGTGTGATAGAAGATTCTATAAAATTCTAAAATAAGGAAGATAAAACTTTAGTTTTATTGACTATTTAACCTAACACATTTTTTACATAATCATGAGATAATAGTCATATGAATGAGTATAGGATAAATTTTAAATGGTATGGGAAACAATTTTATAGTCAACACTCTTGCAGAGTTCCAAAGAAAAACTAAGCCTACCCTTTGCCTTTATTAAAAAAGTATAACACATTTATGAAAATGGAAATTAGCTAAAAGGTTTTAAACTGCTGGGACTTATAGCAAGCTTATATAATATCAACTGTAAATCTCGCTTATGCCTCAAGAACAAAAACTACATTTGACAAAAGTAAATATACAATATATGATGGATAAGGTGGAAGATGATTTTCTGAGCTTAAACTTTTTTCTTTTTTTTTTTTGTAGCTCATGGGGCATGAGCTCGTGCCTGGGTGCTATCCCTCAGCTCTTCAGCTCTTCAGCTCAAGGCTAGAGCTCTACCACTTGAGCCACAGTGCCACTTCTGGCTTTTTCTGCTTATGTGGTGCTGAGGAATCAAACTCAAGGTCTCATGCATGCAAGGCAAGCACTCTAGCACTGAGCCACCTTGCCAGCCCCCTGAGCTTAAATTTTAATACAGAACTTAGACAAAAATAACTTCAAAATGACAGTTTGCAAAAGCAACCAAAATGGGGTGAGGAAATAATAAAAAATGTTGACTAATATATTTTAAATAAAGATATTTTAGCAAAACACTAAGGCCTAAATGGATAAGCAGTAAAAGTGTCAGATTATTCACAAAAGATATATATTAAAAACAAAGGTCAAGCCAGGAACTGATGGCTCATGCCTATAATCCTAGCTACTCTGGAGGCTGAGATCTAAAAATTACGGTTCAATGCCAAGAAAGTCTGTGAGACTCTTATCTCTAATCAACCACATGAAAACCAGAAGTGAAGCTGTGGCTCAAAGTGGTAGAGCATTAGGCTTGAGTAAAAGAGCTCAGGGACAATGCCTACTCCCTGAGTTCAGGCACTATGACCTGAAAAAAAAAAAAAGGAAGTCTAATTTCAGTAGTAAATGAGTAAAACTATTAAAGTAATTTAGACTCAATTTGTGTGCCAGGTAATGTACTCATTATCTGGCTTATTAAATGGTAACCCTTCTGTACATCATCTTTATAATAACAATTTTTAAAAAATGAAAAAAATTATCTAAGTGTAACTCACTGAGTGTAACTCAGTGGTAGAGCACTTACCTAGCTTATGTGAGGGCCTGGTTTGATTTTCAGCACCAGAAAAAACAAAAACAAAAACCACACACCCTAAATCTCCTAACTGCATTTTTCAGGTGAGAAGAACAAAAATTCTAATGTCTAGCAATATGTGGTGTAAACCCTAATGACGGAATTTCATTGCTATCATCACCATTTTCCTGGATCTGCTTCAATAACATTGAAAGCATCCCAGATTTAAGTGGAGTTCTGCTTGAGATGAAGAAGGATGGAGATTTAAAAATGAGTTCCTTGGGCTAGAAATGTGGCTTAGTGATAGAGTGCTAGCCTTGCATGTATGAGGCCCTGGGTTTGATTCCTCAGTATCACATAAACAGAAAAAAGCATTAAGTGCTGCTATGGCTCAAATGGAGACTTAAGGACCATGCCATGACTAGGTCCTGAGTTCAAGCCCCAAGATTGGCAAAAAAAAAAAAAAAAGAATTCTTCTTTTATCTTTCTAAAGCTCTTGGACAATTTTGAACAGTACTGCCTACCACTAAAGAAAAAAAATGAACAGTTGCTTCAGACTCAGAAATAAGCCACAGGGATCAGTAATTTGATGACTTTTAAATTCCATAAAATCCCTCAGCTGATTTATGCAAGCTCTTGAGGAACAACTCCAGGTAAGCAACTCAATGGAGACACAAGTGGCAAGTGGAGATCTGGTCTATCATTAACTTAAGGGCAATAATGTTCTCTGCTCGGTGCCACCTGCTCTTAGAGATATAGAGAGAGGCCCTAAGTCTAAAAAACACATAGCAAAAGCAGACTTAAAAGTTAAGCTAGTATAAAGCTGAAAAGTAGAACAAGCACACCAAGAATGTGTTATTGAGTCAGCCAAGGAATGAAATTCTCTAACTCTGAAGTCCAAACTCTGCTGTATTTCTTTTGCATGTTTCCTTTTTTAAAAATAATCAACTTCAAGTCAAGATATCAGAAATGACTCATTTGGAAAGAAGAACAATTTCTTGTGTCCTTTTTCCAGCATTCCATGACATAAACCATATTATCCCTAAGTATCCCTAAGGAGCATGTCCGAAATTTGACCTCAGTAAACCCAGAGTGTTCCATGTGCTATGGAGAAGATATCTGAAAACTAGACTGCATTTTGTAGCTTTTCTGTCTTCTTATTTTATATTACTTCAACTGAAATCATAAATGCTGTGCTTTTCTCCTTCTAGGTTACAGATGAGAGAATGTCACTGGAAAAAGATGTTTCATATTCATTCCATCTATTAATTTGCTAACTAATACTGGCATAGTCACAGGGCTAAAAGAAGTCCTTCCCTATATGCTATGTCTGGAGGATGCATAATTGTCCAAAATGTAACTTCACAGTCAAGTTTTTGAAGCACTGTCACAATACATATATAAATTTTATGTTGTCTATTCACTCATTTTTAGTATGTTTCATTGGAATATATTTTAGTGAACATAATGAATTCCAATTATACAATTGTCTCTGAAAATCATGTAAATATTTATTACATATGTATACTGGCCTATAATGAGACACTGTATGAACAGCTACAAATGAAATATTAGGGCTTTGATGGAATGTAATCTCATTTTCCATCATCAAAGGGCTTTTTAAGTCTAACCATTTGGAACAATGGAAATGAATAATATAACATGGGCTCTCTACAGGACAACAGACTTGCCCTCCAATCGTAGTTCTATCTTTGAGCACAGTACTTAAACTCTAAGTACAGGGATTATTATGAAAATTTTTTATGATGAGTCTTTCACTATAAGCTAACAACTATTACCTTAATTTTCAAAATCAAAGTTAAAGACAGAACAGAAGAAGAGGTTTTTCTTTAAAGGACATTTTTACTTATTTATAGAAAAATGGTGCCATTTTTATAGGCCCAAAAACTTTGGTGCAGAGCAGAAATTTATTCTGCTCATTTATGCCACTTTTCTAACATGTTATTATAGACCTGCCTATATCAACTATCCCCTCATTATGTAGCTCATTATATAGTTACAAAACTTCTCTTTTCTGGGGCTGGGAAGGTGGCTCAGTGGTAGAGCACTTGCCTTGCATGCCTGAGGCCCTGGGTTCAATTCCTCAGCACCACATAAGCAAAAAGAAAAAAGCTGGAAGTGGCGCTGTAGCTCAAGTGGTAGAGTGCTAGCCTTGAGCTGAAGAGCTGAGGGACAATGCCCAGGCCCAGAGTTCAGGCCCCACGACCGGACCCAAAAACAAAACAAAAAAAACCTTCTCTTTTCTTATTTTCTACTACTAGGAGATTCAACTAATCACTGTGTTTTTATCTGGCCTGTTCATTTCTAAACATCTTTTAGCATCAGCTCCTATCCAACTCTCTTGTTCTAAATAAGTTGAGAATTTTTTGAATTATTTAATATTGGGTAGAGAATAATCTGAATTATGAGCCATAGTTTCCTCAATGCAGGTGATCACAATGACCTAAAGAAGAGAGAGGCTGTCATGTATCACTTATATTCTTTGCCTTTTAGTGATAATGTCAGTTGTGGGCTAAGTAGAGAAAAAAATCTGTGGCCCTGGCATATTAGAATTATGCACAAAATATTTTAAAAGTTACCCATGTATTATTGTTTAAGCAGTCCCAGTATTCAAATTTCAATGGACTGTATTCTATTTCTCAGGTAGAATTTGTTTTGGTTTCTGACTCTTACTGAGAAGGATCACTTAGGAATAATATAAGATGTTCCCCTGTAGTCTGTCCTGCTTCTCTCCTTTGGCTCTTCCTGCCTAACAGAGTTGAGAGTTATGAAAGGGCTGTTTCTGGGCCCAAAATATAGAAACCTAAATGACCAAAACCCACAATTCCAGTGCTCACTTAAAGTCTGTGTGAATTCTATGCTTACCCTTCATAAGCAAGTCAAAAAAAAGGGCTTCATAGAACACTGCAGATGGCTCAAAGTAAAGATCATTTCAGGAAGAAATTGCAGTGACAGCCCATGAAAAATAGGAACACATCCCCTAATAGATTGATTTAAAAAAGCACAGTCAGAATAAGCAGCAACGTTTAATAAGCAATGCTATCTTAGAGTTCTAACATCAGTCATACTTTTGTGCCTTCATTCACTTCTACCTATAACATTATGGATTTCTTACCTCTAATCACTTCCCTTATTTTTGTATACCATGACCACAAAGATTAAACCATTACCTAATCATGTTGACTAGATCTAAAGTCCACTGTGGCTTCTGAGAAACTAAAAAAAAAAAAAAGAGTCTGGATTTCTCAACATGGCACTAGGCTCCTTATTCATTGGCTCTGTGATTATCTTCCCTCAGATTCTGCATAATAAGATAAAACCTGAGTTAATAATAATAAAATCTGACTTAATTGCCTTTCCCTAAACACAGTACAATTCTACTAATATGAGGTGTCTCCACCTCAACACCATTAGCATTTTGCATCCTATACATCTTTATTGTTGGGGCTGGCCTCTCTGTTACAGGAAAACAGCAGAATCCCTAGCCTCAACTGACTACACGTCAGTTAAACCACCCCCCTCCCTAGCACTTGTATGAGAACCCAAAATGTCTCTAGACATTGCTAAGTGGTCCTAGAGATTATAACCTTGACTTTACAAATGGGTTAACCTTTTGCTAAATAGCAACTAACTATGCCCTTGCTCTGTCCCCTACCCCCAAAGCAGGAATTCTCAACTTGTCCTAAACATGAAACTTGAGCTTAACTATAATTGTTTCTATACAGCTTTCTCTTCATGGGGAATAGCTGACCTACTGACCTTTTCCTAAATACCTTGAGTACTTAATTCAATCACAGTCAAACAATATCAAATATTTATATATGAGCCAATTTGCCTATGACTATCTGCTCTAGGATGCTGGGACTTAATCTACATGCCTAGTACCTAGTATAATATATTTAACAAAGCTCAAAAAATGTAATTTTTAATCAACAGGTGAAAAGTTAAAACATGTTTATAATAATTGTGGTAGTTAAAGAAAACAAGCAAGTCTGTTTAGTTCAGTTTAATATTCACATGTGCTAGAAACACTCTATAACCTAAGTTCTATCAGAAGTGATAAAAAGATAAAAACAAGTAGTAAATTAAAGGTAAGGAAGCAAACTCACAGCCTGTAAGTACCGGAAAGACAAGATGGGGCCACATAATGCCCCACAAGCACTACTGTCTTCAAAGTCTCCTTCTTCAAGTAGGAACTGCTGACCTTTAAAATGTTCTTTTTCATAGGCAACCCACCTAGAAATACAGAGGACACTCAAGTGAGCCATTAATAAAACTATTCAAGAAAGCCAAGGAGAAAAAAATCATGATCACACACATAGTTATTCATCTTCATAATCTAAAAAGCAACACAGCTGTTTTATTTTCCATTTACAAAGACAGATAAATGGTGTGTGCTTCACAGATTGGTAATTTTTATAGTTTGAAAGCTACAAAAAATTTTAATTGTACAATCACCACAGGGTAAGCTCATTAACTGTTTATGGCATGACTTGTTACCATATCTTATACCATGGTAGGAAAGTTTACCAAATAGAAAAAGAATAGAAAGTGCACACAGCTAATGAGAAAAAATTCACACTGAGATCCAAAGATAATCATTCATCGTTTACTGATTAACCGTTTCTGGAAACACAGAATCACTTCTTTAATAAATATTTGTTCAGAGTTTAACGATACTCTTACCAGGTTGTGATCAAAAACACAATACGGGAGTATTTACCAAAAACTAGATAATGAGATTGAGCTGTAATTAGCCCATATGTTCTACATATGTACAAAGACTTCTATAAATACTTGTGGGTGGGAAATGCTGATCTCACCATTTAATAGGTAGTGACCATGGCAACAGGAAGCACTGTGGCAGAGTGCACTTTCTAGGGAAAGAAGTTTATTGACTTCTGCTAAAAAATTACTACAGGTAACCCCTCTGTACAGTATTTTCACAATAAAATTAAAAAAAAGGATATCAAGATAACTACAGGACACTGAAACACAGCAGGAGTTGTTAAGCTCCTTCATGAAACTTAACTTTTCTATAGGGTAATACATAGTAACTAACGAAATGTGGACATAGATGCTTCACAAAATAACGTATTAGGGGCTGGGAAGGTGGCTCAGTGGTAGAGCGCTTGCCTTGCATGCTCGAGGCCCTGGGTTCAATTCCTCAGCACCACATAAGCAAAAAGAAAAAAGCCGGAAGTGGCACTGTGGCTCAAGTGGTAGAGTGCTAGCCTTGAGCTGAAGGGCTGAGGGACAGCCCCAGGCCCAGAGTTCAGGCCCCACGACCGGACCCCAAAAAAAAAAAAATAACGTATTAAAAATGGCTTTTATATATATGTGTAGTCAGAGTGGGTCTGTTCTCGTGGGGAGAGTCCAAGGTGATTCTTCCTAATGCTAGAACCTGACAAAAAGAGTCCCAGGAGAGGGGCTGGCCACTGGCTTTCCTTAGCTCACTCCTTCTATAATTGTGAAGATACAAAAAGAGAATTGTTTTCATATAGCACACAGCAATACTCTTTCCATCCTTATTAATCTTGCTTCTCTGTGTGACAAAAAGTGTTCTATCTATGCAAGACTAAACATTTAAAAAAGCAAAAGGAAATAAAAGGTGAAAATAAAGGAAATAAAAGGTGAAAATAAAGTCAGTTGGTCATTTTTAAATGGTAATATCGCATGATTTCCCTATAACTGTCAAATAAAAATATAAGTGGATATATGATATTACAGGCCATATTTTCTTGGGTGTTTTATGAAACAGTTGTAAAAAAAAATAAAAACCTTAGAGAATAAATACTGGAATTTACCAGATGATTTTCCATGAAACTAAAAACTAGTTTTAAGTCTATCTAGTTAATGGGGAAAACATTCAAATCCCCAAGGGAGGAAAGGGAAAAAAAAAAACAAACATTTTACAGCAATTAACAAGAAGCATGTGTGCTCAGAAACCAGAGAAGACTACAAATAAATATAACTGAATAAAATATTCATCCAATCAGCCTTTGCTCTTTTAGCTCTTTGCTTTTCAAATCAAGACTAAATAATAAAATTACCACTCTGTCAGATCAATTATCAATATGACCTATATAACTAACATATAGCAGTCCCTCACATTTTCATTGTGGCTAGTAGGCCATTGCTTAATTTATGGCCAGAAACTGTGATGTCTAAGTCTGTATGTATAGACACTTAGACAGGTTTCATTAAGTAACCCATGAACATGAGTTATTCATATGCCTATGAATAAAACATTTTAGTACCATCATTTGTTAGAGGAGCACAAACAAGCTGCATGATGTGACAGCAAATACCAAGAGATACCAATGCTTACAATTAAAATGAAGCTACATTCCATAATAACCAGTCTTTAACAAGAGACACAAGAAAATGTTTCTGAAGGGTATGGCACTTGGCTGACAACGGCAAATAAGCTTTGAGGAAAATTTCTTTTTCGTGGTTTTATTTGTCAGAACATGAACCCAAGGGCACATGGCAAGCCTAGACACAGATTTTTCTGGGGTTTCTGCTTCTGTAACTGTTCATTAAGCCTGGGATGGCAGCAACGACAGTTAGGCAGTCCTTAGAGTGTTTCCTCAAAAGCAGTTCAGGGATAGAAGCCCACTAGTGTCAAAAACTCTTGACTTTGGAAACACACAATCCAGACTACTCCTTTAATTAAAAAAGGGGAGGGGGTGCTCATTGTTAAAGTCAACTAAATCACAACAGTCAACTAATACCTAAATAAAGAATAGCAGGTAAAAATGTCACTCATGTTTAATGATCTATGAAAAAATAATTTTCTCTTATAATTGTTATATTCTAAGCTACATTTAGATATGCTAACTCTTGAGTTTTTAAACTAAATACAGAAAATAGTTTTTTTTAAATCTCTAATACCAACAAAACTTTACAGTAGACAGCCATTAGTAAGTAATGGTTTTTCTTCCTAGATTACACAGGGCATATATCTTTAGATTAAGCCCAATTGCTCTGCTCTGTTTAGCACAGTACTTGTATTGCTCTTCAAAAATAAATTACTACTAAGTCAAATATTGAAAATAGGACACTCACACTCCACCGATGACACGAATTGATCCAATTCCATTGAAATCACTATCATTTTCTAAAAAATTAGGAACAGAATCTATATGCTCACTAAACTCTTTGGCCTGTCCATAGAAGTGAGGTTTTTCATAAATAATAACCTGAAAAACATGAAAATAATTATTTAACATGGTCACATTTTAGAACAGATCCATTCTAACCCAATTAATATGAAAAACCACAATATTAGTGGGCAGAACCATATTTTTTTTCATTACTATAGGTTTACAATACATCATAGTGGCTGGTATTCACAAAGAAATTGTGAGTTTTAGCCATCATAAAGGTATGGTTATGAGTCTGACGTTAGTGGCTTATGATTATAACTCTAGCTACTCAGGAGGCTGAGACCTGAAGATTGCAATTCAGAGCCAGCCGGAGCATGAGAGCCCTTGAGACTCTTCTCTCCAATTAACCACCAGAAAACTGGAAGTGGTGCTATGGCCCAAAGCGGTAGAGTGCTAGAACTGGGCAAAAAGAGCTCAGAGACAGTGGCTAGGCCATGATTAAAAGCCCCATGATCTAAAAAAAAAAGGTATCATCATGACCAAAATGTCTCTCTCATACCTGGGTATGATTAAATTGTTTTGGTCCAAATCCTGTGGCCATCTCATAGGCTAAATTCTCTTACAATGACCTCTTGAATTATCTTTATACATTTATTCCTGTGTTTGGAATTAAATACAGACATGCTTCATATCAATTTTTCCTTATAATAAAAGCTTTTCAAACTCCAGTACTGAAAAACTGATTGCTAGAAGCTTGATTCAATTGGTTGAACACCACTCTGGCAAGCTCAAGGCCCATAGTTGGAAGGTAAGAAAAGCTTCCAGAGTATAACAATAAATTAGTGAATGCAGATACATACTCTATTATAACACTAACTTTTCCTGTCATCATTAACAATCATTAAGAAGAAGCAGGTATGTAGTTTTTAACTTGAATACAAAACTTCCTAAAATAACAAGTGGAAAAAAATGATAAGTGTTTTGTTAATTGGATAATGGCTCATAAACTGAATATTGAATTAAAATACATTTATACAAACACTTAAAGGTAAGTTAAAAATTAAATTTACTTAAGAAAATTTAGGCCTGGTGTAATGAGTGTAGTTCAAAACAAATTTATAGTATGATTTTTATTTCAACCTTGATTTGGTCCAGTGTTCTCTCCTATTTTGCTATTACTTCTCAAATAATAATATTTTTAATCTTTCCACCTTATCCCTGAGACCGATTTCTTAGCCAGTGAAATATTTATGTACAATTAAATATGCAAGATCTTGATGAATACCACACCATGCTTAAATAAACTAAACCAGAAAGTTACCACCTCATTATTTCTACAACATTATACACACTAAAAAAAACATAATATTGATCTTGTTTAAAATTATATATATATATATATATACAGTATATATATATTGACTTAATCACTATTACATGTGATGACATTTTAATACAATAATAAAAAGCAGTATTTTTTGATGAGCAATGTCAATTAATACCTAACAATATGGCAATAGTGATTACTTATAAGGATCAGTCCATTCTAATATGCTTGCAACCTGTTGAACTGCAAATGCCCATGTAAGACCCACCCTGTCAAACCTGAAGTTCTGAATGAACAAATAAGAAAATGAAACAGGAGTCTCTCAGAGTGTCATCACTAATTCTGCATCTATTAGATGACTAATTTGTAACTTTTACCAATCATATCACTTGAGAAGGTTCTGACCACATCCAGACAAAATAGGGTCTTTGGGAGTGGAAGCTAGGCATTAAATTGAAGTATATATGATTTTACATGAAGTCAGCATATAGTAGATATAGTCAGACACATAATTAAAACAAACAAACAAACATTCCCTCTAAGTGATTGAGAAGATGATAGTCAATTTCCAAAACTAAAAAGCCTAAAATTTAGAGGGCTGGAGGAGTAGTGTCTTATTTTGGAGAGAAAGAAGCATGGTTCTTCACTTCAAGACTTGCCTCTAGCTAGAGGTGCTATTGCCCACTTCTAAGGAAGTTTATTTGCAACTTGATCACTTCATTGATTTTCTTTTTTTCTTTCCCCCTTTTTTTTTTTTTTGTTGTTTATGGAGCTTGACCTCAGGGCCTGGGTGCTATCCCTGAGTTTTTTTGCTCAAGGCTAGTGCTCTACTACTTTGAGTCAAAGCTCTACTTCTGTTTTTCTGAATGGTTAATTGTGAAGAATTTCACAGGGACTTTTCTTCCTAGGCTAACTTCTAACGGAAATCCTCAGATTGAGTGAGTAGCTAGGGATTACCAGGGTGAGTCACCAGTGCCCAGATCCTACCTGTCTTGAAAACACATTAAACTCTATCTCTTATTTGCTTTCCCAAATGTACTTGATTCTAGCAACATGGTCCCCATGATTTCATTGTTTCTACTCTTCCCTTCAGATAACCAAACTTAAAAAAATGACATTTACCTAAAAATGTTGATCTCTCTGAGCATCACTCAACAACTATCACTTAACAATAATAAATATAAATTATTATATACCTGTATAATAGCTGTTACCACACTCTGGTCCAAAAAGACATAGACACTGAGTTTATTTGAGAGAGTTGAGAGCTACAGACTACATACTAAGAAAATATCCATTAACAATTCCAGCAGGAGTCTTCAGTAGATAGTTTGTTGCTTCTCATCAACCAACTCTATTAGCTAGGTATTGTATATTCAAATATATTTTAATTATCCAAAACTACTTAAAGATTACTATTCAGTCTTTTTTCCTCTACTACAAACATCTGTTCAAAACTTACCTTTAAGTTCATAGGCATTTCCACTTTCAGTCCACCCTAAAGATAAAATAGAGTTTAATGTAAGACAGAAATTTTGTAAATACTTGAAAGTAAGTGACATATAGGCTATTAAAAAAAACTCCTTCATTAGTGTCAGACTCAGGTTGCTCATGTCTTATTCTAGCTACTCAGGAGGCAGATATCTGAAGATCACAGTTTGAAACCAGTCTGGGCAAGAAACACCTGGGGACTTTCATCTCCAATTAACAACCTAACAAACTGAAGTGGAGCTATAGCTCAAGTAGTACAGCCCCATTCTGGGTTGAAAAAGCTAAGGTACTAAGCTAGGCCCCAAATTCAATCCCTAGTACAAGGGAAAAAATAATAATTCATTAAGACTACATAGCAGTCAAATTTAAGTTATGTCAAACTTCACATTTTAAGCAGAGAATTCTACAACGGCCACTTTCTGCAGAAACTTCTGCTGTCATTGTAGATGGGGCAAGATTTTTTTTTAAGTTTTTTAAAGTTTGAGATTATAACAATTACAAGGAAGATTAAGTATAATCTACAAAGAATATTAAGTCCTAGACACCAGGTGATCAATTAAATATTTAATGATCCTAGAGAGTGTCCCACTCAGAAGAGAGAAATGTTAGTGAATGTAGACATAACATTTGGCAGAGTAGACTTTTACAGGAGTTATCCAAGTCTCCTCCAGGAGTACTTGGGATTTCTAACCTAAAATAACAATGAGCCCTTCATTGTTCCCAGATCACTTTTAATCCTATTTCCAGTATTTATGATATTAAGGTTGTATAGCATAAAAAGCAAACCCCCTGTCACAAAAATCTTAATTTTGTAATTTTCTGGTTTCAATGCTAATCTACACTGTGATATTTCTTAAGATTTCTTCATTTGTCCAGAATTCCATTTTGAAAAAGAAACAGAAGCAAAAAAAATTGTAGAACACAGCCAATATTTAATTGAACACTTTGCCTCCAGATAAAATGTTTCCAACAGAAACATGCACTTCTTTCATCTTTAAAAGGTAAACATTGACAGAACTACCCATTTATTATTTAGGCTTGGCTTATCATTTACTACCAAAGTGGAAGAATATAATTTACTGCAACTAATTTTCTAATGAGCAACAACAAAAGAAATTCAGAACTTAATTATTTAGAATTTTCACAGAGGAAACAGCATGTATCACGGTAAATATAAAGTAAATATAGATTATTTGTATAGTAGAAACATAAGAACAATCTATAGTTTGCCAATTGAATAGTACAAATACCCATTTCTTGAGACTGAGACTCATGAGTAATGATCACAACTACTTGATTTCTGGATCCACAGGCCCTTGAAAAAAGAAATGCTTCCTTTGGAATTTACCTACCATTTGAAGTGGATATAATGATTTCATCTCTGATGCAGAAATCTCAAAGAGCTCTTGGTCTTCCTCCCAAACTGTAGCTTGCCCCTTAAAATTAATGTCTGGATAGGCAAGCCAACTAAATAGGAAATAAATGAATGATTAAAATACAATAATGACACTGCAGTCTGACTTGTGAAGAAGAAAAAAAGGTACCAAATTAAAATTTTTCCTGAATTACACTAGCAAAACACCAAGGTGATTGATTAGACAGATATAACAAGAGTTAACATGTTATTGAGTATTTATATTCATATGCCATCTTATAAGTCTATTTTCCAAATTTTAGACATTATTTGTTTAGAATTTGAGTATCTAATACATGTGACAACCTTCAATTGAAGAAGGACATAATAAAAAATGAAAATCATGTCTCTATACCTCATTCTTTTTCAAAGATAGGAATTCCACTAGGCATTTCATATGGTGACCCATAGTTTTAGAATCGATATTGGCTGCCTCAGGAATAGTATCAGATTCCCAAAAGATCCATCTATCGCTCAGAAAAACATAATAATTACAAATATCTTTCACGGGGAAGCCAATCGCTCTCTGCTCAAAAGTTTTAGTTCAAAGTTAGAGGCTACATAGAACACTTTCATAGGGACCTCCAAATACTACAACAACCATCCCTGGAGCTACCTAAAACCATGAAAGTGACAAACAGAAATCCACTTAGTCAGGTACCCACAGACCTCTGTGATTCATATCCACCTGGCACTGAGCTAGAAGTAAACTGAGACCCGAGATACTACAGATAACCTTTGAAATCAGAGAGGCATAGCATGAAATCTCTGTTTACAAGCTGGTAGCCAGGGATAATCATCTATAACAATCAAGTTAACATCAGCTGTCTTGTAAGAATATGAAATGTGTCTTGTCCTGGAGAGGCCTCAGAACTTAACACACTTAGAAATAGTTGAGGCTCCAGAATTTTAGGCCAGAAACATGCTTTTATTATTTCTTAGTCTCAAAGTGAGTTGAAAGACAATAGGCCCACCGATTAAGAACTATATCTCAGGATTCTGTGCTTGATCATATAAGTCATTTATCAAAGAGCCTTAACGGGATCCCAAGAAAGACAGAACCTGTTTTAAACCCTGAGGGAATCTTTTTCTTGAGTATTCAGCAGCATAAATGATATTAACAAAAAGTTTTCACCTATTGAGAAATGAAGCAAAGAGGTTTACACAGGTAGCCATCTATCACTATAAGAATGGAAAACTGATACATACACTCCTGACTTGACAGTAAAAGACCAAGATTTGGGGATATTCAGGTCTTCCAAATTGGGGACTGCTCGTTGTATGTAGATAGGACAACATGCTGGGTCAGACTTCAGGCAAAGCTCTATCTCTGGAATGCTGCAGTCCTGTAAGGGAAAAAGTAATTTGACTTTGAAATAATCTAGAGTCACACAGGCTGGTAGTTCAGCCTCTCTGGACATACACTAACAATTGTGCTCATTGTTCAGTGGAATTTCTTCACACACACAAAAAGCATAAAGGGAATACTGTTGTTCCTTAATCTTTCCTTTTATTCAAATAAAGTTTTTCTAGGGGATCATGTCACTAATTTCAAAACTATAAATATTATTGACAGGAGAAAATTATTTTCCAGACTATTTCTACTTTCTGTTAAAAACACTTGTCCCAATAAACAACGCTCAGAGTTACCGAGTTACCCAAGGATTTGAGTGCCAATGATCTGCAGGCCTTCCTTCTTAAATGCAAAACAAAGCTGTAGAGGAGGAAGGGAGTTAAATAAAAGCTGATCTCATGGGGCACATAAAAAATAAATAATAGAGAGGCACTACTCCTACAGAGTGTTTATCTAATTTACATTGACAAAAGAAGTAGGAATTAGAGGTGAGGGTAAAGGAAATCTGTTTTCCGACTTGTAAAACTTTATTTTCTTTAGTGCATGTTGGTTTGATTTAAAAAGGAAAAAAAAAGCATTATGAAACCTGACACTACAGTTGATTAGAAAACCAGATACTCGCTGTCACTGCTCCCTGTTAGACCTTCCTTTCCAGTTTCATTTGTGCTTATGTCTTCTTATCTGTTCCCACTGCGATAGACCAAACTTCAGTAATGGACCTAGTCTCAACCACTGGTCAAGCAGAGACTAAACTTTCCACAGCTGAGCTTGTGTGAATACCACTTCTCTATGACACTCCTTGGTCTAAGACTCAGTTACAACAAACCCATCTTTATATTTGCTTTTCTACAGTAACTTGATCCACAGTCATCTCGCACATTTCTTCAGTCACCTGGTCTTCACTCCCATCCTGGCCTCTATAAGCTTTGCAGACACTTCCCTCTCTTACAAAAATAGTTGTTAAAGCTAAAAAAGACCTCAAACTTTCTTAAGAAATAAAAATTGCAATTATGTTCCCCTTCCAATAAATTAAAGATTCCCTTCTGTCCCAACACACAATCTATCTCAATACTCAGTAGCATTTAGATGTAATTCAAGCTTCAGTAGCCTATTTCTCACCAATGATATTGTGAAATTCAAATGAACTAGTAGGTAAACGTAACAACAGAGGTAGCACTTACTAGAGACTCAACAATTGTAATTTTATTGTATATTTAAAACTGTACTTTTAAAACCCTTTTAACTTTAACCCAAACTGAGTTCTCACTCTTATTCCTAAACGAAGCAATTTAGGGTGCTAACTGGACTATGAAAGTATTCTTCAGAATTTACATACAACATATCTAGAACCATGTTAAGAAATTCAGTAAAACTAAAATTCAATTTAGTAATTAAAATATGGTGTCATAATTATCCTCCAAAAGTTGTTGTTTAGGTCAAAAATAATATACTGAACATAAATGGGACATTTAGAGTAATGATAGCTCACATTTGTTGTATATTACCAAGTCCTATAAATTGTTTTATTTTCCTTAAAAATACATAAAAAACAAATTTATACAACTGATTTTCAGAAAATTACTTTATAATGCACTATACTAAGAAAGCATAACATAAAATCAACATTGAAATATAACAGCATATTTCCTTCTAAAATTTCTCGTCAAAAATGGCTAGAAATGTCCAGAGTTGTCACTTGTCAAACTTCATTGGTCTTTTGTATGCTGTTAATAATAGAGCATTATTTGAAATACTGCTATATTAATGTTCCCCCAGGGATCTGGAACCCTTAGCAGAATACATAACTAAGTGTCTCACACAAACAAAGTTTCCTCCACATTGTGTTATACAAACAATGTTTGGGTGGTGTCCTTTAAAAGGGAAAAAGCTAAGAGGCATTTTTGTCTACAATAACAAAGAGGAAATGGCACAGTAATAAAAGTATAAGGGCAGCTAAAAACATGAAATTAAAAATAAGAAAGCATTTATTCTCCGCTACCCTAGAAGCCTAGATTTTTGCCTGAGTGATAGAAAAAGGCTTCATTAAGTTTTCTGTCTTATTTTGGCTACTCACACAAACGGCATCTTTTCCAAGGTTTGCATACTTTTTGATGGACAAAGGCAGCCAAACACTAGCAACCTAGCAACAATAAACAATTCATGCTAACAAAAAAAGTCTGGGCTTCCTCCCAGACTGTGATAGTCATGCTGTACTTAGAAAATGTCTCCTGATGAAATCTGCAAGCCTAGCTTATTATAATATTTCATAGGAAGGGTGATAAACTTATAGGAAAGAAACAAACAGTAAGAAAATCTGTCTCCACCTTAGGTAAGATGCCTTTGGTCCCCTATCTAACAATGGAGCTCTCTTCCTGGATCATTATATTAGTGAGGTTACAGGGCTGGGAAGGTGGCTCAGTGGTAGAGCGCTTGCCTTGCATGCCTGAGGCCCTGGGTTCCATTCCTCAGCACCACATAAGCAAAAAGAAAAAACCCAGAAGTGGCGCTGTGGCTCAAGTGGTAGAGCGCTAGCCTTGAGCTGAAGAGCTGAGGGACAGCGCCCAGGCCCAGGTTTCGGGCCCCCGGCCGGGCCCCAAAAAAAAAAAAAAATTAGTGAGGTTACATCCTAAATACATTTGCTGTAGGAAAAAGACATCATACCTTTATAAAGGGTATCAAATGACAGTAAGTAAACACTAAAATTTGTAATATTTACTCTAATTTCAGAAATAAAAGCACTCAACCAAAGATTGGCTGTACTGCCATAACACTCCCAATTATATTCACTGAGCAGACAAGAGCCTTGCATGGAACATTCAGGAGTGGAAAACAAGGTATCTTCCATGCCCATTCAAAGCTCAGTGCTACCTACCATACTTTACTGTCTTTTAATGGTATTAACATTCCGACTAAGAACAAAGAAAACTAAGATGCTGAAAGAAGTAGAGTTATCACAGACTTACACAAGTTTGACAGAGGACAGCCATGATAAAAACAAAAACACAAACAAAAAAACCCCAAACCCCTCAGCTCTCCATAGGAGAGTTTTGATAAACAAGCCTGGAAGGAAAGGAAGCAATGTGATGCCTGATTCTTATGTTGTAAAATACTCAGGACAATTCTGATGCCTTTTCTGTTCAATGCTTAGTAGTTTACTGTTTCTCATTACCAAAAGCGGTTAACCTGTTGTAAACATGAGCATTAACACTGTAACTAAATAACAACAACAAAAACTAATAATAGAAGTAAGGAAAATGTGAAAACATGAATAATACTTTCTTATATTCTTAGCAAATGGTGGATATGCAAATACCTATTCAGATATCTATGCTCACCAGATTAAATTTGTTTGCATTTACTCTTGTTTGATTTTTCAGGAGTTAGAATGGTGGAAGGTGGCCAACTATTGCTCATTTATTTTCCCCCACTAAGCTTGGCATGGTGCCTCATATTCACAAAACCACAAGTTACACAAATCCCAGAAGATTCCACCGACAGAATAATTATGCCTTTTATGGAACTTCCAGTAAGTCAGCTAATTAAATGTATATTCCAATGTGCTTTTCAGATCTGAACTGGTCACAGGTCTGGTCCTTCAATGATAGCAAACACTAAGGTCTCTGCTATAGCCATCTTCATCTTCTTGCAGTACCACAAGCCACCCTGCTCACCTCTGTACCTGGTAAGAGTGACTCTGATAGGAACTCCTACACATCTCCCACACTATCTCATTCCTGTTTAACTTTGCATGATTCTTATCAGATGCCTCCAGGTGAGTTGCCTCTATGAAGTGAGGTGTCTCTTCCCTGAGTGACTCTGGGAACCTGCAGAGAACTTCCTAAGTCATATGGTCAGCTACGTCTCCCCAGATTTCAAGTAAACTGATAGAAGAAACCATATCTCTCATATTCCTATTCCCTCAGTCCCCTATATCAACCAGGTTAACCAACATACATATATATATATTTTGATTTTGGTCAGTCATGGGGCTTGAACTCTGGAACTGGGCACTGTCCCTCAGCTCTTTAGCTCAAGGCGAGCGCTCTACCACTTGAGCAACACCACCACTTCCGGTTTTCTGGTGGTTTATCAACATATATATTTCTTAGAGACACAGTTGTTTGCAACTTTGATTTGGGAAAAATATATGCAGACACAAACTTAAATGTTTCTGCATGCTGTTTTTCATTTTTCTGTACTTATTATTTATGTCAATTGCTTGTACAGGGGTATTTCATTTTAACATATCTACAACTATCAAGAGTTTAATGGCAATAATCAAATCAGGACAAGATCCAGTTTTCCAGTATATGAACAAAGTTTTAAATATGTAGTTATGTGTATATATTCATACACACATAAACATACATATGATATACTCACATATATATACATATATATAGATACCACAAACATACATATAGGCACATAAATTTTTATTATGTTTTACATTATTGATGAAAGACATTTTAAAAATACATGAAAGAAGCCAGGCGCTGGTGGCTCACGCCTGTAATCCTAGCTACTCAGGAGGTTGAGATCTGAGGATTGCGGTTCAAAGCCAGCCCGGGCAGGAAAGACCATGAGACTCTTATCTCCAATAAACCACTAGAAAACCAGAAGTGGCGCTGTGGCTCAAGTGGTAGAGCACTCGCCTTGAGCTGAAGAGCTGAGGGACAGCACCCAGGCCCAGAGTTTAAGCCTCCATGACAGACAAAAAAAAAAAATTATGGCTTTTAAGTATATGAGCAAAATCTTAAATATGTAGTTTTGTTTACATGTGTATATGTATGTATATTTTTTCTATCATGTATTACTAATAAAGGAAATCTGAAAGATTCTGTCCTTATCTAAGATGTTTCTCCACCACTAATTCTTAATTCATCCCTCCCCTAAACTACCCAAGAACCTCTAATAAAATATTTTGTTGTGTTGGAAAATTTTCCTAATCTTCAATAATACTCTACTAATACAGATTATGATTGAAGATATAACACCTTTATGTCCTCTCCTCATATTTCTTTCTCTAATATCTCAACATACACACACACAAATACACACATAAATATTCATATAACACATGACCATATTAAGTATTAACAATCTAAACTAGTAAAAGATGTATTTGGGAACACTCGCTTATCCTTCAAAAAATTCCGATAATATACTCCTAATATTTTGAATATATATGTACCATTTATGAACCAACTTGCAGATAACATTTTAAATTATCATTCACTCAAGTCCTTCATATGTCCAAATTCAAAAATTACCAGTAGGATCAAATTTAGTAAGATTAGCAACATTAGTAAGCATTGCTAGGCCACAGTACAGTTTTAATATATGACAAAAATTTAAATCAAGAAAATCAAGCTTTGTTACCTTTAAGACACGTTTGATAGAACCCAGTACAAAGTTTCTTTGTGGATGCTTTCTGCTCTGAAGAAACCAGTCACGAGTTAATACCTTTTCTCCTTCTTCTAACACACATTTCTGACCTTGGAAATGTGCCTTCTCATATAAAATCCAGCTAACAGAAATAGAAATGAAATTATCAGTTATAGTTAATTTTCTAAGAAATGAGGCATAAGATAAATGATACTTACTAAGACATGTATCATTTTATTTCCTTGAAGTTTTTAATCTGCACCATCTTCTACTCTTAGTATATATAATGTTACATTTGAAAAGAAAAGATAAGGCTAACTTAAGTAAGGCACAATATCAGTAAGGGAAGAATAATAGGAAATAATAGGAATAATAATAGGAAATAATAGGAAACTAAGAAATAAAAATCCTCGAGTTGGGAAGGTAGCTCAGTGGTAGAGTGCTTGACTTGCATGCATGAGGCCCTGGGTTCAATTCCTCAGCACCACATAAGTAGGAAGTGGTGCTGTGGCTCAAGTAGTAGAGTGCTAACTTAAGCTGAAGAGCTGAGGGACAGCGCTCAGGCCCAGAGTTCAGGCCCCACGACCAACAAAAAATAAATAAATAAAAATAAAAATCCTGAGCACTATCTTACCATATAGACCTATTATACATACCTACTCTTTATGAATACATATATGCACATATATTGTACATGTGTATGTACAAAGCTATATGTTCAAAATACTATTTATATTAAAAATAGTTTAGCAATCGTAAGTTACACTACTTTCCTAATATTCCTCTTCTTGTAAACTACTGACGTGTTCATTGTTATTTTGTATTGACAACAGTATCACATACTATTTACAGTCTGAACACAAACTAGAAGTTAACCTAAATAATAGCCAAAGAATTCTGGCTCTGGTATGTCTACAAGACATGATCTATAATAACAAAAAAGGATTTCCCTCATCTTTAGACCAAAGAAGAAATTCTGGAGTATTTTGATTACACAAATGATTCTCTGAGGCCTTCTCATTCCTTAACATCCTAGAAACTCTGAACTCATTTTTAAAACTATGCTTCAATTTAAAACATTCAGTTTGACTTGCTAAATCCATTTGACTAGCAGTACAATTACAGAATGGCATTGGTAGTGTAGGTTGTACACAATTAGTTCTTAAGACCTACTGCTGGCCCATGAAAGGAAACAGCCCATGTTTCCTTTCACACTAAATAAATTAAGTTACCAAACATTAATGTCTCCAAATATTACAGAGAATAAACTAGAAATCATAATAATAAACTACAAAAAAGAGAATATGACTTCACTTAAAAAAAGTACAAAAAGTGTAAGTGTAAGAAAACATACCTAATTTTAGATAACATGCTATAACATTTCAAAAGATTTCTTACCAGCCCCTTACAACTTTTATCAGTACCCCATTCGGAAAAGACCATGCTGTAGCATCAGGAATTGTACAGTAGATCTCTTGTTTATAGTTACTTCCATGGAGATCATAGATAACCATCTGCAATATATAGTAGGTAGGCACAATAACTAATCTTAAGAATGTATTTAAAAGTCAAAAATGTCCTAGAATACAGAAAAATAAAATGTTTGAAATACATAAAAGCAAATATTACTTCAGATGTTAAATCTTTATGTTAAAAATAAAATCAGTCTTTACTCAGTTAAAAGTATTAAAACTCCCCAAGCCTAAAAGTACCCTTACCTATCCACCATTCATCTTAGCCTATCTGCAAAAGGTGTGCTTACCTTCCCTGGCCGTGGATTACATCTCAGAGTTTGTCTATCAACATTCTGAAATAATAAAAGTGGAAGAGAAAAGACTTAAAAACCATCCTATCTCACATTCTTAGCAGTCATAATAAATCCAATTTATCACATACTTACTGAGTGATCATTACAAGTAAAATGACTCTCTAAATACAAGAGAGAGAATTATAAACAAGAAAGGACATAATATGATGTCACTGCTTTCAGCACATAGCTAGAAGAGGCAAACAGATGATCACATTCAAAAACCTTCTAAAGGCTGAGATATAGTTCAGTGGCAAAGTGCTTACCTAGCAAGTTCAATGTCCTGGGTTGAACCCAGAGTACCAAAAAGACCCCAAAACCCAAAAAAAACAAAAGCAACAACAACAACAGCAACAAGTATTCTAAATAAGCATTAAAGGGACAAGTAATATACAAAGAAACCAAGCCAGGTTAAGGTTCAACACGAAGGTGAGACAATGGGACAGTGAGATTCAGAAGATGGTTCTTGGAAGAAGTGCTATCAGGAGACTCTAAAAGAAGATTTCAGTGAGTGAAAAACATGGTGGATTGGGATGAGCGCAGAAGAGAAAAAAAAGTCCTGGGAAGAGAACTATGGTGAGAATAAATAGGAAAATAGCAAGTAGCCAGAGTGTCAAGGGAAGACAGGGCAAAGCAGAAAAGGGGATTCATTCAGAGTAAAGTTGTGAGGAACCATGAAACATACATTTCTTTAAATCTCATAATTTCTTTGCCTTGCAGGGTATTAATTGGTATGCAAGTATTACTATTCGCCACTAAAGCCATACAGGATAAAGATATCCCAAAAAAGTTCCACAATCTCAGGAATGCCAGAAAAGAAGGCCCAATTTTCAAGATGCCTTAATATTTCTAACTCCCCCTAAAACATGTAACTGAAGTTAAAAACATTTCCAGCCATAATGGCTTGGGCTCTTTTTCGTGAAGTTAGGCTGTGCAAGGTCCTGCTTTGTATGAGCAACATCAACAATTCCAGCATGAAGTTGTTCAATAAATGTACAAAAAATCTACCCAACAGAAATATTTTTATGAGATGTATAATCTAAATTAGGACAGTGACAACTTCTTTGCATGATACGCTGCAACATGCAAAATTCTCTCACTTAACTTAGTTTGAACAATATTACCCAAGGACTATGGAATAATTAGCTTCTCTACTACGCATTTTAAATCACACAATTTTATTTCCTCAAGGTAGCGGTCAGGCTAAAACACACAAAGTTGTGTTATAGAATCTGATTCGTTAAAAAATAAGTAAAATATATACCTTCTTAAAATACTGATTTTTCTTAATAAGCATTTTTTAAAAACAAGATCCTAATCCAATGTTTCCTTTCAGTAATTAATGACCAAAACAACTTACCTCCATATATGGGCTCAAGCTGCCTGAGTTGTCTTCAACAGGGAAATATTGTGACACCGGCTCCTGAAAAATCCCACCAAATCTGGCTTTTTCTGAGGAATTTTTGGAAGTCTGTAAATACTGGTGATAAGCACTCTTTAAAGAAGAATGCAGTCTAGAAGTCAGATTACATTTTTGTAGGAAGGAAGCCTTTTCTGACCACAGACCACGTGGCAGATTAGAAGGAGCGGGTTCATTTGTTGTTGGGTATGAATTTGCAGAAAATTCAGTGCTTTCCTGGTCTTCATCAGGGTAAAATGTGAAGGAAGGTTCTGGCAGGTGAAAGGTAACATGCTCCCTCCTTTGAGCACCCAGGCCTTTGTTCAATGCTTCTTCCTCTTCCTCCTCTTCCTCAGCTGCCTGCCTATCATCTTCATCAAAATTCATCTTTAAGCGCTCTGATACAGACTGGAGAAGTGATAACACGGAAGAGGACTGGTTGGCACTCTCTCTCGATTTCGTGGATCCGTGGTGACCAGGTGAGACCTCACTGGACAGAATGTCCTCCTGTGAACTGTCATCCTCATAAATGGGACTCAAAGCCAAGGGATAAATTTTGTACCTCTTGGCCTCCACTGATAGGAACATTTCCGAACTATCACCATCATACGTCTCACCTAGTTTAGCTTCTTTTTCAAAATGATGGACGAGGTCAGTTCGACTTTCAGACCTTTCACAGGCCAGGACCGGCATGCTGTCAGCAGACACGTCAGGAAATAAGAGAGGCTGTGTTCCTCTCACTTCTGCAGAAGCATATTTGTCATCATCGTGAAGGGGCTCTTCATATAATATAGTAAAGGAAGAATTCTCTTGTTCATCCTGAGAAACAAAGGCTAAGTTAGATTCGCCCTTTTCATGGCTACAGTCTAGTTCTCTTCTTTTGTCATAAACTGCAGTAAGCGACACGATTTTGTTGAGCCTTACAACTCTGTTCTCAGGTTGGAAATCTGCCACTGCTAAAGCCGGATAGCCCTCATAATCCTTACTTAATGTAGGTGATTCATATCCTCTGAAATGGGAGGCAAGTCTATCATCGTGCAATATCAAGCCTTCTCTTACTCCAGTGGACCCGTCTTCCATTTCTCCACCACTTGCTTCTACATACTCTTGGGGCATTTCTGCAGTTTCAGATCCAGGAGACACGGCTTCCATGTGTGTCACAGTCAATTCCAGTCTTGTTCTATGTGTTTTCTCAGCCTCCACAAGTCTCTCAGTCTTTCCAGTATCTCCTCTGGCATCTTGTTGGCAAATATCTATGGCTTCTAAAGTAACAGGCACCACTGTAGTTTTGTCAGGACCTCTCTCAGCATCTTTGGGGGAAATATCTTCCATCTGTAATTCCCTACATGTCACTTCATTCTTGACAACACCTCCCTCCTCATCGTTTTGGTGACTATCTTCCACTTTGAGTGTAGCAGATATAGATACAGCCTTTTCAGTGAGTTCGTCATCATCCTTTAGATAGATACTCTCCACTTCTGACATAACAGATGCCATACCAGTCATACCAATATCTCCTTCTGCATGTTTTTGGTAAATACTTTCTATCTCGAGTGTTACAGGGGGCACCTCAGTCTTTACAATATCCCCTTCAGCATCTTTCTGGTGAATAGTCTTCACTTCAGACAGAAAAGGCATCACCTCAGGTTTGCAACTATCCCCTTCAATATCCACCTTACGACCTTTATCCATTTCTAAGGTGATAGGTAATCTCTCAGGTTTTTCAATATATCTCTCAGCATTCATTCGGTATACTTCTCCCTTTCTAAAAATGTCAGCTTCTGGCTCCGTTTTGGTAACATTTACTTCAGCATCATTTTTAAGTGCTCTACCAGCATCTAACATAAGAGGGGCTGCTTTGTGTTTTATAGTATTTAATTCTGCATCCTTTCTGTTTGTTTTCCCTATGTCTAATACGGATGGTAGAGACTCCATTTTTCCTACACTTACTTCATTACCCTTTCTGTGTACCCTTCCTATTTCTGGCATTGCAAGGAGTGTGCTTTTACTATGCTCTGGCATGCTTTTGTCAGATATACACACAAGACTATCAGACAGACTGCTTTTGGATGTGCCGGGAACATGGATGTCATCACTTACAAGTGGAGGCCACTTAAAATTCAATACAAGTTTCCCCATACGTTCCTCCCCTGTTTTATGCATATCTACATGTTCTCCTTCTGCTGTTTTCTTACAGTCTTCATTGACAAATAAATGTGTTTGTACTTGGTCATTGAGGTCTGGATGGATCATGTTTTCAGCTTGTGAAGCCATATCTGATTCTTGCAAATTCATACTATCAGACTGCCCAGCTTTACTTCCAAAAAGTTGAGTTTTTTGGTAGAGAACAATTTCTCTTCCTTTAATTGACTCTGTGTCATGAACTAAGTTACTTATGGAGAAGAATTTACTTAGCCTTTTATTTTCACTAATTGCATGTGTGTTTTGATTTATTGTCTGTTCTGATACCAAGAAGTCCCTAACTACATTACGTGGTTTCATACTATCACTGTTCAGAATCTTTGAGGTATTAGCCTGAGGTTCAGAATCCCAGGTGTCCTCAGTATCTTCAAAAGCATCATTTATTAAGTTTTCTTGTGCTGAATAAATAACCTCATTGACTAACTCGCTAGCTTGATCTTCTATCAAACAAGATACATTCATTCTATCAAAATCAAAATGGAGACTTGTCTCACCGACTGCATGGGAAACGCAGGCTTTTTCTTCTTCGACATCTGACCCCCTTTCCATGCCCTGCTCTTCCAAACAGTCTTTAGGTTGGATCCCTGTCAATGTCACTTCTGATGGGTTTTGCTCGGGGATGTCTTCTTTCAGGGAACCGGGATTCATTATACCACCTGTGGTTCTATGCTCCTGGCAGGTACCGACAATGTGTTTGTATTTTAGTTCTTCCCTGACAGAATTAAAAATCTCCTCAATCAAAGTGTCAGCCTTGTCAATGAGTAAACCACTTTCAAGGACCAAAGGTTGGTCATGTGCTCTTCTCCTTGCTTCTATATGCTCAGCACAAGTTTCAGAACACTGCTGGTGTGAGCTGTTAACTGTCGCCAGAGCCCCAGCAACTGCTCCAGTCTCTGCTTCCATGGGATGATCAACATGGGCAGCAGTTGGGAAAGCAAGGGTTATTTTCCCAGTAGGAATCTCAAAGTGTTCCTGATGTGAGGTCACTTCTACCCCTACCTGGATAGTTGTTTCCAATTCCAAATAAGAGCTATCAGGGTCCCGAAGGTTAGTTATAGAAGCATCTTTGTGTGCAAGATCTGTGGTCGTTTTCACAGAACCAAAATTACTGGGGGGATCATGTGAATTTCTAACTGTACTAAATTCCTCCTTGTGAAGAGAGGAGGAAGATGCACTCTCAGTACCATCACTCAGAAAACATGGATCCTCTCTCCTGTGAAGTGAGGCTTCCTTTTCTGATCTCAGCTCAGAAGGCACATTAAACAAGCTTGAGTTCTCAGATACAAATGTATCCTTTTCCAAACCTATAGCAGAACCCAAAAAAGGTGTATTTATTTTTGTGGTGTCAGTGTTTTGGAACTGTGGGGAAGTATTATCTAAGTTTATTTCCGCCATCTCTGAGAGAACAGTATTCTTTTCGGTCCTACAAATATTCAAAGATTGACTACAAATGGTGGCATCATGATTCTGTGCCATATCTTGAGTGCTTTTCTTCTGACCAGGATGGGAGAAAGTCTCAGGCAAATTAGTTTTGAAAATAGAAGTAAGATCACCAGAGGCCTCTAACTTGTTTTCTTGTGTTCCCTGATGTCTGGAGGCAGGAAGAGAAATCTCTGCCTGGAAATTCTTTGTAAGGCTCACACCTGAGGGTTTCTCTTTCATTTCTTTATGATCCATTGATTGAATATATTTGTCATGTGCATTCTTTAAAGACGTTAGTTCTAAAACAGTCTTCACTGTCTCGTCAGCAATTTCTGGTGGAGAAAAAAGAATGTGAGCTAGAGAAATGTCTCTGGACTCTGTTTGGAAAACAGCTACACTGGGCAAAGCCAAAGATTTTGCTCCTTCGGGAGTACTGTGCTGACCATCATCAACCTCAACTTTTGGTAAGATTTCAGCAGTGTTAGTTGTTTTGGTTTCTAAGGAAAAGGAAGCAGATTTCACAATGATGCCCCTACTTGTTTCACTGTTTGATGGCATTACCTCTGCTTTATTAGGGCCATGAGATGAAACAGAACCATCATCCTTAAAGATGCTTCCAGGCTCAAAGTTCAAACGTGGCACCCCAGTTGAATAAGTGACTTTGGTTTCAGGATCTAGTGGACACTGGGATTTTTCACCATCAAGAAGAACTTCCTTGGATTCAAGAATTACAGATGATGCATGCTGAAGATGAAGAAGAGGTGGACTCTTCTGGTCTGCAGCCTCTACACAACTTGCTACATATTCCTCTTGATACTTACCAGGCTGGTGGGAAATATCAACAACATTGACATCTCCCATTTCAATGAGCACAGAAGATCCTTCAGTGTTGAAAACAGGGGTATCCAAATTGCTCAGCACACTGCTTCCAGAAATAAAGGTAGGTGGTGAGGTATTAAAATTTTTATTCTCATGGTTAGTAAGAGATTTTTTAGCCTCAGGTGAGACTTTGGATTGTTGTGGATTCTCATAACAAACAGGTGATTCTGAAATGCAATTTCTGTTCATTTCCAAATTCAGTTCAGGTATTTTCTTTTCTAAGCATGCTACAACTGTTGATTCACTGGTACGTTTCGTGGAAATAGGGTTCTCTTGATTTAGTCCCCTAATGAGAGGATTTTTATCAGATGGTCCTGAATCAAGCATTTTGGCTTCCCTTTCAAATACTTGGTCTGTATCTTTGGGTAATAACTCAGTACTGTCTTCAGGAGTTTTTACGTGACTTGAAGTGATAGGTTCAGCACTTGAGGCACTTTCTGTTGCCTGCTTGATTTCTTTAACAGGCACATTGTTCTGTGAGTCCTGGGCAAGCAATCCGTTTCCTTCATTTCCAAGTCCTGTATCTGTCACAGCACGTCCCTGGAGAACGGTGGTACTGGTATGACTGGCAGCCTGCTTTGATGAGTTATCTGCAGTTGGCTTGTCAGAACACTTACTATCTGGCAATTGCAGATCTTTCCTCCTCATTGATTTATTTGGATGTTGCAAATTTGTTCTTTCCAGTTTGGTAGTATCACTCCCATCAGATGCACTACAAGAGAAATCAGAAGCAGGAGGTCTCTGTGACTCAGTATGTTCCTCATCATTCTTCACAGAGCTGCTTTTTCTCCTGGTATTTTTTACTGTTGTAAATTTCCTCGGAAATTCTGGACTACAAGGGACTTCATTGCTCTGACTTCCTGTCAACAATGTTGAACTTAAATGGTATTGTTGTAGGTTAGATTCTCTAACCGTGTAGCTGGACTTAGTCACAGAAGCAGATGACTGATTTCTCTCAGGGGCACCAGGATCATTTTTATTTAAAACCTCCTCAAAGGAAACAATATTCTGCAGTTCTGTATTGTTTGTCAGATGGTTTTCTGGGTTGATATTTATGCTGCTACAATCAGAGTCTCCTAATGGATCTTCAAGCAAATGTCCTTTCTTGGATGTGTCTGTGCTGGCTGATGCTAATGGCACAATCTGTGCCTCAATTTCACCTCCAGGGTCAAGTTGTGTGTCTGCACTAGAGTCAGAACTTTCTCTGCCTAAAGGACTCACAGTTTCCAATATGATCTGTTGCTTTAAATATTTCATAATTTGTCGTGGCCCTCGATATGTTGCATATGTTACTGAAGGACTCCCTGGTTTACTGTTGGTTTGTCTGTGAAAAGAAAACAACCATATGAAGAGTACCAGGAAATGTAATTAATAATTCAACAGTAACCCACAGTAAAGTGTATCTTTTAAATGCTGTTTATCTGTGCTAATTTGGAAAGAAAGTCTTAGAATGTTTCACATGTATTTATTACATCTGAATAAAGATTTGACAAGCACCATGTCAATGACAAGGAAGTATGGATGTTTACGTTCTGTAAAATGTTCCTTTTTACTTGATTACATATATAAGTATAGATAGATTATAGATTTATAGATAGATAGATAGATAGATAGATAGATAGATAGATAGATAGATAGATCTGATGGCAGTTAACAGTAACAACATGGGTGACAAGTTCAAGGCTTAATTCTTCTCATTTCAAAGCATCTGACTCTAAGGAAGGATACAGACTTGGTGTCTTTATATTTGTATCATAGTTAGAGACAAATCACTGTGATTTTTAGCACCAAATCAGATCATCATAGTAAGCTTCCATTCTTTTACATGTGACTTTGAACAGAAGTTTTTAACACATAAATTGGAGATGTCTTAAAGTAAAACACCTGCAAAAGTATCTAGTCCATAGCATTCACTAATTATCTATTAACAAAACAATGACTGAACTTTCTCCAAAATCCCCTTTCCTGTTAACTTCTTCAAACATTCAGCCATTGTAATGAATATTAAACTACTCATGTAAATGCAAAAAATCAAAAAAGAATTTCTAAAAAGAGTAAAGAACCTACCTACTCAGGAACTAGAGATCAGGAAGATTGTGGGTCAAGGCCATCCTAACCATAAACTCAAGACCTTCCCTCTCAATCAATAGTTGTATACAATGGCTTGTGCTTGTCATTTTAGTTATGTGGGAAGTAAACATTTGGACCTCAGTCCAAGCTGGCCAAGGCATACATGCAAGACCCTATTAGACAAAAGATTCTGATGGTCTCAATATCTAACTTCCTCTACAGAGTTATTCTGTGGGAGCTCTCGTGTGAGCCATGTTGCTTTACTATCCTTCATAAACATCGTTCCCTGTTCTTCAAGTTCCATAGGAGAGAAACTAAGGTTAATCCTAATCATCAGTTATGTCTTTCATATACTTTATAAATTTTAGCTGAAATAATTCATTTCAAACCACATCACTGCTGACTTCTAAAATCCTACCAACCATGATGGTAATGTATTATTACATTCATTTATTTTTTCACTGTCCATTAAAGAGTAGCTAAATGAAATGAGGTAAGTGAGGAAAGGTTGGCCTTGCCAAAGTGGTCTTAGTTGTTTCAGATTTCAGGCTAGATCAAAGAATTATGAAACAAAGTCAAACACTGGATAAGGCAGTTTATCTTTATACAAAAACATACACAATATCAACACAAAAGAAGTTTGTGAGGCTCCATCTCAAGCAATGGCTGCTCTCACACTCCTGTTATCTCCGCTAAGGGGGAAGCATAGTAGCTTGTGTCAACCATGCACTGTCAACCCTAGTGCATAGAAAACATAAGGATCAGAGCTGGCCCTGGCAAGCAAGACCCTACCTCAAAAATAACCAAGGCAGCTGGACACTAGTAGCTCCTATCTATGAGCCTAGCCAGCAATTCAAATTAGCTATCAACACAGGAACCTAAGTTCTCAGAACTGAGATTCAAAACCAGGCTGGGCAGACAAATCTTGAATCTCTTATCCCCAATTACCAACAAAAAACTGAAAGTGGCGGTATGGCTCAAGTGGTAGATTATCAGCCTTGAGTGAAAAAAGCCAAGGGAGAGCACAAGGCCTCAAATTCAGACTTTAGTACTGGCATAATAAATAAATAAATAACCCGTGCAAAAAAGAAATAGAGGTATGGCTGTGTGGTAAGAGTGTCAGGCCAGCAAGCACAAGTCCCTAGTTTAAAAATGTTCCCTTATCATCTAAAAGGCATTAGTCTACTACTTGAAGTAACTTTAAAGAAAGCCCCAGATTACCTGGAAAGTATACAGGATCATATAATTCTTCAAGCAGTAGATTCCTACTGCACAAAAAATTTCCCATCTTTTCAACTAATAAGGATTAGAATTTAGGCTTAAAAGACTTGAAAGCCAGGCACTGGTGGCTCACACCTACAATCTAGCTACTCAGGAGGCTCAGATCTAAGGATCCAGGTTCAAAGTCAGAGGTCCAGGAGACTCTCAATTCCAATTAACCAAGGAAAACAAGAAGTGGAGTTGTGGCTCAGAAGTGGTAGAGCACTAGGCTTGAGAAAAAAACGCTCAGGGATCCCACCTGGGCCTTGAGTCAAAGCCCCAGGACAGGAGGAGGTAGATTCAAACTCCAATTTGGGGCTAAATTTTGTTTTAGACTTACTTCAGTAAATCAGTGGTTTCCTGTTCACTGTCTTGTGTGCTATCCAGAGAAAAGGCATCTGATAGTTCTGTTGAGTTGGACTCTTGTTCTTCCATTGGACGTGCGTGAGTTCCTAGTAAGCCACTGAAAGTCTCCCTCTCCCCTTTCTTTTCTTCCTTACGACAGTTCTCATGAGTCTGTGAATCTTTCTCAGCTTTATCTTGGTCATCTTTAAAACAAGTTTGCTTAGCTTCCCCAAGTGATGATTTTCCTGAGATACTGAATAAGTTACCAAGAAACTGAAGAAAGCTTTCTTTTGGTTGTTTGTCACTTTCTCCTGTTTTGGTATCTGAAGTGGTATTTGAAAGGTCATTTGGCTTTCTGAGATCTTCCTGTGTGGGAAGAGTGACTGGCTTCTCAGCAGGGTTTCTCTTATCCTCATTTTGGAGAATCTGAAAATAAAACAGACAGCAATAAGCACCATCATTTTTTTTTTTTTTGTCAGTCGTGGGGCCTGAACTGTGGGTCTGGGCGCTGTCCCTAAACTCTTCAGCTCAAGGCGAGCATGCTACCACTTGAGCCACAGCACCACCTCCAGCTTATTCTGCTTATGTGGTGCTGAGGAATTGAACCCAGGGCCTCATGCATGCAAGGCAAGCACTCTACCACTGAGCTACCTGCCCAGCTCCAGCATCATCTTTTTAAAGATAACCTTAATTGACTGATAAAGCATTACATGGCAGACCCTCTACTGGATACCAGTGGCACACCTGTGAGCCAGACTGATGGCTCCTATTCCTTCAGGCACCTTACAATCAACTTGAAGTACAGTGCATTTTGAACTGTGACAGTAAATTAATGTCACAACAGAAGGACAATACACACGAACACCCAGGGCCAGCCCAGATTTGGTACAGGTGAGAGAAGTAAATAAAGAATGCTAATAGTTTCATGAGAAATATCTCAGTAAGTAAAACACACTCAACTAGACAAGCCAAAGGATAGATCGGTGAGAGGGATCCAAGGGGGATTAAAAGTACAGCTGAAATCTATAAAAGGTGAGACTTGAAGTGACTCAAAGGCTGGTAACATTCCATATGTAAGTTACAGCAAAGCAGCATGTAGGAAAAATATAACCCTCTAACACCTAAGGTGGGAACAAACTTAAAAATGAGCTTAGTGAGGTATATGCTTCCAAAGGATTTATGTGACCAGAGGTTAGAGTACAAAAGAAGAAGAGTGAACAGAGATCAATGGATGGAAAGACAGTAACCTAGTGTGACAACTCAAAGAAAAAGCCCATTGTAATCCTTGCAGAGTAAAACATGAATTTTTGATGGAACACATTTATATAAAACAGAGAAACTATCAGGCCTTCTTTGCAGACACTAAACACTTCCAAAAGTGCATTTTACCTGGTCATAATTAAGTTACTGGTACAACAAACACATTTATGAGTATGTGCAAGCAAAAACTGAGCTGCCATTGCAACTCGTGATCTTCTTGGATTCCGAAAAGCTCCAGACAAACGTGCCTACTCACCCTGCTTTCCAAACATGCTTGCTCACATACTTGAAATTGGAATGCACGTTCAACAGAATCTATCACCTGTCATGCTCACAAGTTCTTATAAAAAGAAAACTCAAGTGTGAGTCACAAAAGGATCAAAACACAGAGGTAAAACTACCTTGGGGCACATGACAAAGTGTGTAAGAAGCTTATTTTCAATAGAGCAAGAGCATCTTAAATATACCATTTGTCTACCTCATTCTATGTTTTAATCCAAGTTCAGAAAAGCCTTACCACAACTCAAATTGGGCATATAAAAAGTAGAGAAAACATTTAGATCCTGTTCATCCAGCACACTAATTTTGAATAAGCAGTTGTTTTTATGTTTGGTCCCCCCTTACTATAAGAGGATATTTTTTTTTTCTTACAGGCTAGGACCCTGCTATAAGCCTCTACATCTGGAATGTGACCAGCCTTTGAGTCACAACTTTAATAGGTGTCAACTGAAGTTTTAATCCTCCTTAGCTCCCCCTCACCTATCCTCCTTTGGCCCATCACAGAACAAGTTGTTAGTCGCTGTCCGCAGAGCCCTCTCCTCATTCAACAGCAAAACACCTTCACAATTTGGCAGAAGACTAGCCAAATAGTTGACATTTCCAGAGTGTTCACATCTGGGAAAGACACATTAGTTTTTTCTTTTAACTACTCTATTTAGCTTGCAATTTCCAGCCACACGATTTCTCTCTGGATCCAAACGAACTAAGACTGTAACATGAATACAACTGTGTTCTTTTTTTCTAATTAGAATGAGTGGCAGCTTGTTATTCGTAGCTACTTATAGAAAGTGAGCTAAGGGGCTACTCGATAAAACATAAATATTTTTAAAATATGTTAGAGATCCACAAAAGTGCTTTATAAAATTGGATGATGAGCTGGGCACCAGTGCTTCATGTCTGTAATCATAGTTTCTCCAGTGGCGAAATCGGAGATCCAGATTTAAAGCCAAGTTGTGCAGGAAAGTCTATGAGACTCTTATATCCAATAAATCACCAAATATCTGGAAATGGAGCTGTAGCTCCAGTAGTCAAGCACATGCTTTGAGAGAAAAAGCTAAGGTCAGAACCCAGGCCCTGTGTCCACACTCCAGTACCAGCACCAAATTAATTTAATTTAATAAAAAAATTAAAGTAATGATCTAATAAAAGGAGATTAAGAGAACACAGAAATTACATTTTTGACATAATTAAAGTCTTTCTGTCAAAACAGTATTTGATTCAATTATTATTTTATTGACCATTCCTTTCAAATCTTATTTTCTTCTCTAAAAGAAGATACTTTTTAAGACACATATCATTTTAAAAAATCATTTATTTCTCCTTCCTCTCAATTTTCTATTTCTTTGCTATTCTACAATCTCTATATTGTAACTTTACAAAACATTTTTTAGTTTCTTTAAATGTCTCAAGTGCTTAATTTTTCCCTCATAGTCTCATGAGAAATGTCTCGGTAAGTAAAACACACTCAGCTGGAAAAGAAAAAGGGCTCCTAAATTTAGAAACAAAAATGTGCAGAAAAGAACAGTCCTATTCAACCTACAATAAAATCTGAATTTACATAATTAAAACTTTAAATTTGATTTAAAGCAGCTGCTGTTTTCTGCCTACGCTAGAAAACAATGAAGTCCAACCTGCCACAGGCCTTCGGGCTTTTGTCTGCCTAACAGGACTGTCTGAAATTGTTCCAAGGCATTTGTAGAACGAAAACACTCAGGATTCCAGCAAACAGCACAATACATTAATTCCATTTGTTCTCCAAAACCCTGGTATTTGTCATGTAATCTATGAAGGCTACTGATGAAGGTATGTACTTTAAGAATTATTTTGCCTGCATACTCAATATTTTGTAATGCAAAGTACTTATGTGGTGGTTAGAAATGGTATGTAAATTAACTAGAAAAGAAAGATAGGATAAAAGCTGGGTATGCAGCACCCCACCTTGCATACGTGTCTTTTGATTTGCACTATTTTCTCCTGTAGTACTTTACAGTCACCTTGGGCTCCAAGAACAGGATTCAGGGACAGTCAAATGGCAATCTGCCCCTTACACAAGCAGTGCCTTCTTAGCATCTCAAAGAAAACATCCAAAAGCTATAGTCCATCCACCAGGCCTCTGCCATTAGAGACAGAGATCATGGTCAGGGAAGCCATATCTGTAACTTGGGACTGTTTTAACTAGGCATATCTTTCTCATTCTTTGCTTCTAGTTCTCCCTATTTAACCTGAGGACAATGTCTGTACCCACCACAAACCATTACCACTGAAGATGTATGCACTAAAATGTTGTCTGAAGACATGCATCTTTCTTGAACTTTCACAGTGTGACAATGTAGGACTCCTGGACTTGGAATCTGGGGTCTAAAAACTGGGTTTCTGGTATGGCATTCACTTTAGTCATCAAGAAACAAAACACAATCCCAATTTCAGGCATACTATCAGCACTCTTTCTTTATAAAATCAATCAAGCAGTAAGAATTGTGACTTCTGGCTCAAGCTCAGTAATGACACACCTTTTTCTATGCCTTCTTTCCAAATGTCAGGAAATAACAGTTTCTAAGAGCCACGTTCTGTTCTATCTACCCAGAATACATTGCTAGCCACTATTCTCAAACAAAGACATTGCTCTAAATTCAGCCAGACTTTTTCTAGCAAGAAAGTCACAACTTTCCTCAGTTCCCTCAGTATCTCAGTCAGTTCCTGAGCAACTCTATGAAATAAGGACTGAACACTCCCACCGAGGATCAGCAAATCAAAGTTCACAGAGGATAAATACATTTCCCAAGGTTACAAAACCATGCTAGGGGAGATCTGGGCTATAAGCCCAGGTCTGTGCTTTTTCCATCATCACACATGTTATTTTAACACTGTTCCAAGGAGGTATTACCAGTAATGCAGGCAGAAACCAGAGCTGTCAGTCTGACTCTAGACAATTCATTCCCTTCATCAATGGGAAAGTTTTGCTTTAATCTTCTAATAATGGGGTTGTATTTTTTTTGGTTGGGGGATGAGTTCAAATGAATGAAGAGTAGTTTTGAAAATGTCTACATTGACACTGATATGCTATTCCTGCTAATATATATATATATATATATATATATATATATATATATGTATCATTGAGGAAAAAAATGTAATCATTAACTAAGGCTATTCATTTATTGAAAGATTGGTTCCAGTGTTTCCCAAAGAAAACATTTACTGTCTATAAATTTGATTGCCACTTCCCTTCTGACTGAAAAAGCTGAAGAGGATCAAAAAGGAACAAAGAGCTACTCAAACCCAAAATAGTAAGTATAATATGCATACACAATATATTCCTTGTACTTCATAACACTCTAGTCTCAAAATCCAGCATCAATTTATAGAACTTCAAGTGATCATTCTCTGTCAATGACAACAATGGAAATAATAATAACAATGGTAGCAAGGGAAAATAATGGCTTGATCTAAAATGGTATAGACTTCAATATTTCATATCATCCAGTACTGGACTGACACTTCTTAATTTCACTTGTATATCTACAGGAACATTCTATAAAAATCACTTAAAAGATAATAGAGGGAGGGGGGACCAAGATGGCGACGGGGCAGTAGGGAAACGCCACAGCTCTCTCCAACCAAAAAGAGAGTTCGAGTTCCAACGCTTAATCTCCCCAAGAGACCGACAACAACAA